CTTCTTGTTCTCCCTGTATCCCGAGCGAGCCAAGTATCCCTGGGTGGGCATCGAAGGCGATCGCGATCTGGGCCACAGCTCCGAACTCTTTATGGCAGCTGATTCCAAAATGATAACAATTGGCGGCGGGTAAGTCGAAATCAACTAAACGAATCTGAAAATAAAACTGAAACAGGGTTGAGCTTCTGTAAACACTTTGTTAAGCTGTGGCAATAACATTGTGCTGTTAACCCTATGGAGTGCCTGATGCATATCTCAGCTATATCTCAGTTATATGCTCACTAGCACAGATTAATTATTAATTTTTCTATTCACTTCTATTAAGACCTTATTTGACAAATTGGTTACTATTAAATTAAATTCTTTTCACAAACTAATAAATTGTTATTATATATTTAAATGAAATGTAAAATTTTCTATAGATTCCTTTATAAATTATTTGACACTTCTAAAAATGTATATCACTCTGTTAATCTGACGTGAACATATTTAATAAGTTGATTTACTAAACAGCGCTCTGTTAGCACACTGTTATTTAACATAGCACAGATATGTTAGTGGAACTATTTTGTTATGTTAACTAAACAGAATTTAAGAATTTCCATATGACATGCAATATTTCAACAAATTATTTCACATCTTCACATATCAAACCCAATTAACTTCTTTATTGTACTTTACAGTGAGGGCCAAGCTATTTGGATGGATGAGAACATACGATTTGGCAAGACGGACAGCTGTAAGACCTTTAACAATCCGCCGCTATGTCCGTCGGGTGACTTTGAGATACGCGTACTGGAGGTCTACGGCTTCGTGGGCATCTAAAGCCATATAGGCCCGATTGGCCCATAGACACTCAAAACGAAACCAAATTGCCCGCCGATGTTCAAGTGCTCAGCTGAAACCCGCACCTATGCTTCTCTCAGACCTACTCATATACACCTACACTCAGTCTATGCCCACACACACATATATACAGACATACACAATGCGAACGCTTGTGTTTCCGGCTCTAGCGGAAACACTAGGCAGAAGCAAAAGATGATGATGATAAAAAAGAAGAAGATTAAGATTTGTGTAAACATTTATAAAAACTTATTTATAAATATGTATCTAAAAAGTAAAAACAAAAAAGGCAGCAGTCGTTGTCATCATAGCCGTTGTAATGTTAAATGTTTAAACCCCGAGCAAAAACAAATTATATATTGTATAATGGAAATACTCTGTGAGTTAATGTTTCAAAACGCAAAAGCTTTGAAATTATATACATACAATAGTTGTTATTCATAAAAAAAAAAAAACAAAACTATTTATATATAAATATATATAAAATATGTGTATATCTAAATGTAAATCGTAAAACGTGAACCTATTTCTATATAACGACTTTAAACGGCAGACAACAAACGAAATATATTCCTTAAATGAAAAGAAAAGCAAGCAAAAATATCAAAAAATCAATTGTCATGTTAAATTTGTCTGCACATTTTGATAATAACTATTATTATTATTATTATTATTATTATTATTATTATTATTATTATTATGATTATGATTATGCCTAAAGTAATTTGTATGTTTACTTTTATTATTATTTTTCTGCTTTCTGTAAACCAAATTTACTGACTTGACTGAATTCGTTATAAATGTTATTAATATTATTATTACATATGTGTATAAATTATATACTTTGTAAATTGCATTGGAAACTTTTTTATTTTCTTACTATTGCTAGTTTCTATATATATATAAACTACCTATATATACATATATATATATCCATATAAAACTGAAATTTGCAGCATGAATTCAAAGCTAAAACAAAACACAAAACTTGCAGTGCAGTGTAATAGTTATATTAACGTATGCTATAGCTACGATTAGAAGCCACACTAAAGCTATTTGGGCGTGCAGGGCGAGGGGACGATAAAGTGGGGATTTAAGGGTCGGGGGGTGTGCACACATGTCACATATTGATCTCATTTATGATCCGTATCCAAAGCTTACAACAAATTCAATGTTTAGTTAAGACTCATTCCATTTGTGCATTGCTCAAGCTACACTCTTTTATTTTTATAAACTTACTCAAAGACAACAATTTTGAACTATTGTTTCTATGCAAAAACTTATTTTTCTTTTCATATTTCTAGTCAAGAGACAACAAGAAAATTTTCAAACATGTTGTGCACAACATTTCTTTTTTTAATTGGTAGGCGCTTGCGCACGCCCACTTTAGCGACTGCTCTTTGCACTACTCAAGCGAATTGTTACAATCACAACGAATACAAAACTTATATAGAAAATATTACAACAATTAACAATACATAAATGTAAATTATGCCAAAAAATAATGCGATTTGCTGTTGCTGCTGCGCCGACTCAAAGTTCTATGCGCCACTCAATTTAAGTTTAGTTCAAGCGCATAGATCAATACTCTATGAACAAATGAATCAACACATTTCGGAGCTGGACTCCAAAATAAAAAAAAAAACACACACACACACCTCACTCACTTGCAACACACACACACACACACATGTGGCAAGGCATGACAGCAAATTTGTAAAATGTTTGTGGCTGCTAAAAAGAAAATATATATATATAATAAATTATGTGTATATTATAATTTAGTTATTAATTAATTAAACTCTCTGTGTTGTTGAAAGAATTGTGTATGTAAACAGCATTAAATATGGCATATGCTATAGCTCATACCCATAATAGCCTAGCTGAAAAGTTTGATTAACTCAAAGAAAAAAATATGAAGTTAAAAAAAATATGTATAAATATATTTGTTACTTGTTTCTGTGCTGTTGATAAAAGTTTTTAATTTACTTGGTTGACTATTGATACAAATTCTCAGATAATTGTTGGGCTGAGGCTGAGGAGAGAGGTTGCGGGTGCGCTCATATTAATCTGAACAGTATTTGGCAAAGGGCAACAAAGAGTCAACTAATTCATTATCTTCTGTATATATACAATTGTTTACACTGTTTTTCTATATAACTATATGAATTGTTCTCTATGTGTAGTCGTTGTTAGGTTTCGATCATTTAATTTGTACAATAACCGACCATTATAGAGAGACATCTAAGTGTGTTATACATATATATATATAAACGATGATAAGCTCCAACTGAAGTTATATATTATGCAAACTGAAATATTACAATGAATAATATAGATATATACGTACATATTTGAACTATGCGTTGTTCACTATTTGAATTCTAGAGCGTGTTGTTTATTTATTTTGTATTATTATTTTATTTTATGAATTACAAATACACACACATACAGTAATAAACGAATACAATTGAAAGATATACCCGATTATATATTATATATTTCAAACGAAATAATGCATTATTATTATAAATATATATATGTATGTTAAATCATTTTAGTGGACGTATAAAAACAAAACGAAGCTAAATCAAATAAAATGTAAAATGTTGCAAAAATATCTAATATGTTGCTTTCAGTTAAGACCTTTCTATTCGATTCTCAACGTATTTAATTGTTGAATATGTAAACTAAAATAAGCATCACGCTCAAAACCGTGCTGTGGACCTGTGCCAGGTGCGTGCTCCGATTACAGAAATCCTTGTGGCAGAAAACACAACCCAAGAAACTGAGCTGCGGCATCACCGGATCCGACTGCTCATCGCACACAGATAAATCGCCGAAGGCGCAGGAACGTCGCACAAACAACGCTTCTTCAAGTGCTGCAAAAAACGAGTAGATACACATAGTATAAGTACACTAGCTGATACTACCCGGCGTTGTTCGGGCCTTGCGTATAACTCATACAGATCTCAATATCTGTTAGTTGCTATTGGAAGAAATACCATCAAGCAAATCAAAATATCCGTTAAATACATTTTCACATACATTGAAAATTAGTTTTAAGCAGATTTAGTTAAAAATGAAAGAGAAATTTCCACTTTTGCTGGTGGAAACTTCTCTGGGTAATGTGCTAGTATCAGTATCAATTTGTTGGTTAATCAGTTGGCTAGGTATCATATTTAGATGAACTAACTAAAGCTTGGCATACTTACAGCCCCTGTAGTACTTGGTCAGGCACGCAGTGTCGGGTCGCTGCAAATAGAAAGCACGCAATTGCTCTGGCAGCTCCATGGAATCGCAGTCGGTTTTGGCAATGTCATCAGGCTGAAAATCATCGCCGCAATTCAAATCGTTGACGGAATCGCATTCATAGCAGCTAACGGCCAGAGCTGTGTGTCGATGACGAGATGTGAGTGCGTGTGTGTGTGTGATAAATGTGTGCTTAATATGTGTGTCAACAATGTATGACACGTTCGATGCGCTCACCTGTGGCGGCCAGTGAAACGAGCAGCAGCCCCAACGTCAACACCCAGCGCCCCAACATGCCCAACTGTTGTCTATCCATGTGTGTGTGTGTTTGCGAAAGTGTGTGTAGTGCTCAGGTAGGAATATAGATGACGGATAGCTTGTATATTATGAGTGCACAGATTGGCCAGTTGATCGCGCCCAGAGCGTCACATGGCCGAACCAGCCGGACGAGCTGCACACGCGAGACTGAGCCAAAGCCAATCGCATTCTGAATGATGAGTTTTGTATTCAGTTTTTTTTTTGCGCTATTTTCTTCTTTTTGTTATTTTCCATATAACACATTTGGTTTTCATTTGGCTGACCGCGTCTAGTACAGGCCACACATATACGATATGGAAATGAAAATGGAAATGGTATGAGCGGCATTTTGATAGCCTAAAATAAATGTCCGTTGACATGAAACATGGAATGGTGCAAAATACACGTCGCTATTGTGTGTGCCTGCATGAGTGTGTGTATGTTATGTGTGTGTGTGCGTGTGTGTGTCTGTTTGTGTGTGTGTGTGTGTGTGTGGGCGGCGTGCCCTTGTTCATGCCGCAGACGCCTCTGCCCCGAGAGTTCATTGCGCGCACAAATAAACAATTTTCGCTTTATTCTATATTAATTTTGATTTTATTAGCTGGCCTTTGGCGCTTACTCGGCTTTCTTGGCCATGGCCATATATAACAACAAACTAAGAACAACAACAACTTATGCCTAATGCCTTAAACATGCCTCATACGTCCCGTTGGCCGCCCTGCAGCCATCGGGCTGCCAGCAGATACAACGCCAATGCGGGCAGCTGCCACAGATCCACCTGCGGATGTTCTGCTCCATTGCAGTAGTTCTCGTTGTCGCACACGTGGCAGCTGGCGTTCTGCACGGCGATCAGCGTTGGGTCCAGCTTGCAGCCAATCTCTGTCTCGTTCACCTCGCCAAAGTAGCAGCCACGCACGAATTTGTTGACGCCATTTTCTGTGTGCGGTTCAAAAAGTCAATTCAAATAATTAATTTTAACAATCTTGCGGCATACTTTTAGGCGAATGCACATAAAAAAACAGCTTTGGTGGCCGAAAAGCATACGTCTTTGGTTTCTATTATAATATGTATTATAATATCACAATCATTTCAGATTCAAGTAAGATCTAAGTTCAAAGCATTTTGTTTTATATATATTAGGTTTACGAATGTATTGTATACAGATTGGTCAAAGAATTTTAAACTTATTTGTGTGCATATTTCTTTCATAATAACTGCAAACCCAACTGCAATGCAGTGGAATGTCAAAACTATCTGTAAATAATTAAATTCTATTAATTGAATTGTTATAACTTGAGTTGCTGAAGTCCGATCGAATAAGCCCATACCATTTTAAGCAATTTGAGCTCATTTTAGATTGGACTTTCTTGATTGACAGAGATATTACAAATTAATAAGTTTTTCTTGAAAATATATGGCTCTTGCACTTTGGCAGTCCATTGAAGAAATTCATAGATTGATTTCTTGATATCAGAACAGATCCAATGGATAGTCCTGATCAGTTTGAGTCCTAAATGGTATATTATATGAAAATCGGCCTTTTATTTGGGGAAGCAAATATTTAAAAGTTGAACTTTTAGCACATCTTTAAAACCACAGCTGCTATTATTACTTTAATAACTTAAGTTAAATGAAAGCGTGCCATATATAAGTCTGATCTTGTGTATAGGAAATTTTACTGCCCCCTATAGACCTCGAGAGCGGTGTTTTCATCCACTTTGAGATCGACTAGTCCAAGGATAGAGTATATATACACGCAAAAGCAAGTTGCTTATAAGAGTAATTATCATCCAGTAATCAATTAACATAATTTTCTTATATAGAAGAGGCTGGCTGGCCTCGAAAAGAACGCTATGGGAACCAATTCAGAATTAAGCCGGGTAAGAATAAGAGCATGCATATTTTAAATTATCATAGCAATACGTGGAGGCAACAAAGGCACTAAAATCTCATTTTTATCTCGCATTGTCCACTTGAAACTGCCAGATACATCTGCATTTACCAAGATACACTCGTGTAGCACGGAGATTTTCTTAATTCAAAAATACTTTTGACTTTCGTCTTTAGAAAGAAAAGAACTAACAATACAAATACATTTTTTTTTTTGAAGCGAGAAACATTTGTATCTTATGTGCATGATTTATGCATACAAAGTTTGTATCTAAACCCGAAATCTATGACCCAAAGATACACATGTTGATCTCAAAGATACATTTTTAATGCCACTGAGGCGCTCTCTATCTCTCTCTCTCTCTTCATCTTCCCCGCCGTGGTATATCCTAATTGGCCGTTAAGGGACGCGTCAGAAATTTATTTGATTTTCATGTATTGAGGTCATCTTATAAAAGACCGCATACTTTTCCGTCTGAATCATTTTCATTCATGAATATTTTTGCGAGTTGGTTGGCCAAGTACTTACCGCGAAAAACTCGCTTCAGGCACGCTGTCGCATTCTTGTTGGACAGCTCGTTTTCCAAAAAACGGGGCGGGGCAATAAAGGCGCAATCGTACTTGAAATGATTCTCGATTTCGAAATTTTCGCCGCAGCTCGTCTCGTAAACGGACTCACATGAGTAGCATCTGATGGCGTAAGCTGTTGGCATTGAATATACATATATATAAATATATATATATATATATATATATATATATATATATATATATTTATGTTGTTGAGTTTAATGGCTAAAGACAAAATGGTCAAAAGCTAACCTGTGGCCAGCAGCGTGAGGAGGGTGCCAGAACAAAGTAAATACTGCATTTAACTGATGTTTTCGTATTGAAGAAAAACAAAGGAAAATCCAAGCACTTTCCACAACCGGCTGTATATAATTTAGAGCATTTATAGAAATGGTTTGGATTTATTTGGATTCTTATGTTATATATGGAAAATCTTTATAACTTATTTTAATTGCCGCATTGGCGTTTGGTTCTTTATGGAAATTTCTAATGATGCTTTCCTTAATTGTATTTTCTTTTTTATTTTTAACTTTTTCATTCAGCTCTCGGGAAGCAATTGAAACGAAACAATTTGGTTTGAAAGTGTTTGCTTGCGTCTAAGTTGGGGCATTTACAAATATATATTTCTATAAATTACTCGTATCTTTGCATATTTCTTATATTTTTATTATTTTGATGTTTTCGGCACTGTAAACTCGCGTCTTTCTTGCGTTCAATGGCTATATTTTGCTTAGATTTCCGCACCGATGTCTAACAACAGTCGCCCGCTCTGTCGTCGCTTTAGAGATTTGTATCTTTTGTTGTTGTTGTTATTTTCCGGTGTGTTCTGTTTATAAAGCAGAAAACGCCTCAGCCGCCAGTCAGTCGACGGCCGCGTTCGAAATTATACTGAAAAATGCCAAAGCGTTTCCAAATTCCACTTCTGGGCTCTCACTCTCCCTAGCTCTCTTTCTATATACCTCTGTCTCACTCCTTTCCGCCTCACTCTTTCGCTCGCTTGCTCCTGTCTTCGGGTCTGGGCAACTTGCTGGCCAGCGCTCGCGGGACACCTATTGAAATTGTCTAATTTTAATGAATTTCCCCCAGACACACACCGTCAAATAAATAATATATATGTATATTCTAGGTAGAATTAATAGCACACATATGGAGGAAGACGCCACGCGATTTCAGTTGCCTCTTAGCCCCTTTTTAATAACAGCAAAGAGAGCTAACAAAGTTGCCAAAGAGTACAAACAACTTGCCAGTGTGGGTGTGTGTGCTTCTGTGTGCGTGTGTTTGTGCTATGTGTGTGAGCAGGAGCTTTAATTATGGCCTTGCATGCAAGGACAGCTTTCACTGTGGACACATTTTCAATACATTTCCCTTAATGATTACATCGTCGCTGTTAAAGGAGGAAGGAGTTTAATAGACAAACGATTTTATAGCTAAGCGATAGTAATTTAAAATAATTGTGTGGAAAAACTTTTGGGTATTTGGAAATATGTGGGCTTAGTTATATCAAAAAAGGGTATATTGTTTCGTTTATATATATATATATATATTCTTAATCAGCATCATCATCATACTTGTGTCGATCTTGCCTGCCCGTCTTTCTGTCGATATCTAAGACATTCATTGAATGCAGTCCTAGTGCCCGCTCTGTACGAGTTTGTTACAAATGATCGACAAGAACTATAGACGGGAAATTCGGTACGGGTTTACATCCAGAATATTTCATATTTTGAATACATCCCTCAATATTATATAAAAATCGAAAAAACGCATTTCTCATAGTATGGGGAAGAGGGCAAAAGCAGCGCAGCCGCAGCGTACGTTTGACAAGAAGAAGTTTGCAATAAGAACATATAATCTTCCATAGTAAATATGTGTATGGATTAAAATATATACGATTTATTCCGCCTTTTGAAATATTTAGAATATTTAGAAAAATATTTTATAGGAATTTTGCCTTTGAAGTGACGGCCTGATTTATAAGTAGTATACAGTATTCCTTGTAATGGAAAATTAAATAACACATGTGTGAGGCATGTGGCATGGAAGTGTATCAATAAAAAAATTTGATGTCCGATCGATTGCTGCTATAGAAGCTATACAAAAGTTATGGGTCGAAAAGATATCACACACATATTGACACCGTAGTTCTATATGGTGGGATTTTGCTCATATTCATTGTTTGCAAGCAAGTAAAGATAATTAGATTGGCTAAATTTATTGCATATAGCGAATTCACTGGATACACTAAGAGAGTTGGCTTAATTAAAAAAATAATTATTTTCAGTAATTGGCTGCGCTGTAAATAAAGGCTGTTTAATTGTCATATTAATCACCTCAACATGTTTATTTTCACATGTACACTTTTATAGAATTCCTAGAGTAATCAAATAATATGTGTAAAACATTTATAATTCGACCTGGGAACTCGGTTGTCCGCTGGAAAAATATATATAAAAAACTGTAAATTTATAATTTTGTTCTTAACAAAAGTAAAGTAACTGAAATTTAATTTGGTATAAAAGCTGTTTTAATCCACTTTAAAATACGTTTCTCTTTTTGATTTTACTTAAAACTTCAATAATGATATACAAAATTTTGATAATACATAAGACACATGTTTAATGTTCCAGTTTCCGATTGGGATTGGAAGCTGAATACTCCAGTTAAATTTAGGCCAACAAGCGGGCCACGCCGAAGAACAGCAGGATAGCTCCAGCAATGGGGGTGAGGGAGGCGGAGCCGTTGCACTCATCCTTGGTGCACACATCACAGCTGAGCTGCTTGACGAAGGGCATGGAGGGATCCGACTGACAGCCAGTCTGGATGTTGGTTACGTCTCCAAAGTAACAGCTGCGCACGACCTGCGGATGGCCGGGCACTGAAACGGCGGCGAAATTCGTATTGTTAATTAGTTGAATGCAATATTTGAAGAAATTCTCATTGTCAGGTAATTGCTAATTTTGGATGCACTGCGTCGTCATTTATTTCATATTTTTCATATTGAAGCTAACAACTGTTAATCAGAGGCGTTGACATTGCCAGGTTGAGGGGCCCTGTGAGTTTTGCGGCTTTGTTGCTGATTGTTTTCAAGGTCTGTCATTGTTTTAACGTCGATTAACTGTTATTCGAGTTCTATTCACATTTTTTTCTGGTAGCTTTCCATAGGCAGAACTAATTTTCTTAATTGGCAAATCTGCCTACATAATGCGCAGTTTCCATAGAACTCTAATGACTATAAACCTACTCATATACTATACAAAAAAATAGGTACATTCAAAATAGCTGTGACTAATTCGTGGATGACAACCTCATAGCCAGCTTGATTGCCGCTGAAGCGCTGCTCAAATTTTGATAGATGCTTTACTGTTTTCTACACTCATCTTTAAAGTTTAGCTTATGAACAGCTACAATTAAATACGAAAGCAAATTTCATATAAATTATTTACTTAGACTTAGTATTCGATAAGACATAAAGGCTGGCTAAAAATACTTTCCCGTAATATTTACAATTTTTACATTTGTGTACACTCTAGCTGTTGAAATTTACATTGAGCTTTGTTCTTTTGGGTACGAGTGAGAAAATGTTCTATAGAAAATGTTCTAAATCTACAAAAGTTGTAAGGTTTCTAAGCTATGACACTGATATATATTGAGATCAAACTATTCACAGTATGGATCTTTGCTTATTGAGTTCAAGTATTCATTTTTCTTCTTATAAAACAGCAGAAAAAACGCAATAATGAAAAAAGTTGCTTATTCATAATAACAATTCTGATGTAATTTTCAGCAATACTTCCTTGCCTTGAAAAAAATGAATACATGCACGCTCGAAGAACTTTTGGGCTAATGATTCAACTAACACATCTACGATGACTCCAGTTACACTTATTGCTGATGAGCAAAATTTAATTTCAAATTAAAATCCATTTTATTTGGATCAACACTAAGAAGCTTCTGTCAACGAAATCCATTAGATTTGTAATGAATAATAAAACTCAATATATGTTCTTTTCGCTGGAGAATGCAACAGCCCAGAGCTCGTCAAATAAAATCGAACAGCTTTACATGCCAAGCACGAATGTGATAATTGCTGAAAAATGCAAAACAATAAGCTGAGCTCAACGGTTCAAATAACATGATGCGCATAGCTGCTCCCACATATAAAAAAATATATACATATATGCATACTAATTAAGAGAAACCTAATGGGATGTTGTCTTATAAAATATTAGATCACTTTTATATATATAGGAAAATAATGACAAATTTGTGCAGCTCGTTTCAAAAATTCGAAATTCGTTGTCTGAAATGCAATTAAAGTATTTTCTCATTCCGCATACGCCTAGTTGGTTAATTGTACGCATAAATGACGGACGCCGACGCCGATGCCTACGCCCCAGCTCAAGCAGTACGATTAAAACTAATCAAGCTAATTGAATGTACAACTTGACGCTTATGACATCATGTTATCAGCGTGCGGCGAAGTAGCTAGTTGGGCAATTAGCAGAAAACTTACCGCCATCGATGGTCTTCTTCATGCAGCCGGTGGCATTGCGTACGGGTAAGAAGGTCTGCAGGAAACGCGGCGGGGCAATGCGGGCACAGTCCAAAAGCAGGCTGTCATCAGCCTCAAACTTCTCGCCACACTTGGGACTGCTGACAGATTCGCACTGATAGCACTTGATGGCATAGCCTGCAAAGGGAATTGACTGTGTCGGGTGCTGCTTTACTTTTCACACAGACTGTGCATACCCGTGCAGGCCAGGGCGGCCAGAATGGCCACAGCCAGAACACGCCCCACTTTGGAAACCATTTTGTAGCACTTGAAATTAAATAAACAAGCTGTAAGGAAACGAACTGAATTATATATGTTAGATCTGAACGGCGCGGCGACTGTATTGCGTCTGATTTGAAACAATTTGAAAACTTAGCCAAACAGGCGCGCATTCACACTCAAACCGGCACTCATACTGCCACTCATAGTTGTACTCACGCTCATTCACATTTTCGAGTGAGTCTCGTTTCATTTGCGTGTTTTTCTTTGCACTTGGCCAATTTTGTATTCAATTTTGAGTTTAGAATTTTTTGCTTGACACACAAACATCCAAGCATATGACCGCAATTTTGTTTGTGTATGTATGCATGCACGATGTATAAGTATATTACGATTTAGAGAACTTGTTTTGGGTGATGTCAGACGTATATTGTCTTATTTATTTACTTTTTCCTTTGGACACGATAAAAAGGCAAACGCACACGGAATGTCATTGCTTTTTTATTTCTATTTGTGAGCATAAGTATTATATAAGTCTGATTTATGTCATGTTGCCTATGCTTCATTATGCGGCATCTCATTTGTATGCGACCCATTCAGCATTTGACGCCCATAGTACAAACGGGTTTTGTTTTCATTTTCTAAACTTTTATTGAGGGCATTATCACTAAGCTATGAAATGTGCAACTCAATGTAGCGAGAGCATCACCTAACTCAATCTATCGATACAAATATATAAATTCTTAACATAATTACAAGCAAGAAACAAGATTAAATTGAAAACAATTGAATAAAGTCCTCAACTCAAAATTATATTTTCTATTTAAGTGGAAATTGATTAAGTTTTATTTAATTTTTTTTTTTTATTTAAGAAAATTGGCAATTGGTACCTTGTTCCTTTTAATTATTAAAATAACAATGATGCAGTACTTAGCTAGGATATAGATGGTAGGCTTGGTAGAGTTTGATCCGGCTGGGAATGGGATATATATGTATATATATTTTGCATAGAGAATCTCATTTTTGTAATTCCTATAAGGGTATTTTAACTTCGGCGCACAGTTTTCAGTACTTTTTTCCGATGTATTACTTGTGCTTTTATTTCATACTAAAGTAGAAAACTGACTACAAACAACTAGTTGGATTCAGGAGGATTCGCACCGCATCAGCATTAATCTTGGCAATCATTCAAATCTTAACACTTGGAGGGCGTAAACATAGTTTATCGAAACATATGTTGGTTGTAAACAATGTTGGCAAAAAATGTTTGTTGTTGATCTACGCGAAGCAAAGAAATTGCTCTAAGCCTCAGCTAAATAACATGTATAAATAAAAAAGAGGCGATTATTCATAGCTCTTGGTAATTCAACATAACTCGGAAAACAAAAAACAAATTAATTGCCATCTGTATGGCTAAACGTGAATGAAATTCTTAATGAAATGCTTTGAAAAATACACAGTATGATCAGGACCAATAGCCGACTGTCTGTAATTAAATTGTTATGGGAAAGCTTCGTTAGATGGTTAAGACACAAATCGCGTAAACAAGAAATATAACGTGTTTGCAAATGTATCAAGCCTTCGGTTTCACAAAGATCGCCCTGTTTCTATACTCTGAATCTTTTGAAAAACAGGCAAAAGGAAGCATCCGACCAGAGTGTATATATATTATTGATCAGACACCCTCTCCTTAGTAGAAAAAAAGTGTTAAAACAAAAATTGGTCCATTTTTATTTTAATAAATTTAAATTCTGGACCTCAAGCCTAATATGTCGCCAAAATAAGCATTTAGCTAAATGATTTATAATTCTTGTACTCCAGGAGAGGTTAATCAGACATCAGACATTTCGCTAACCCATAAATGATAACAAATAAAATACTGAAGACAAGCAAAAGAAGTAAACTATCAACTCATATTGAGCATATATATAGTAATATAGTATATATAAATATGAATTTTAAAGAAAACGAAACGTTTGATATACAATTTTAAATGATCCTTTGTTTTATTTATATTAACTTTTATACAAGTTGGAAAAGTATATTGTATTTGTGCAAAATCCAAATGTATGTAACAGGCAGAAGGAAGCATCTCCGACCCCATAAAGTATATATATTCTTGATCAGCATAGCCGAGTCGATCTAGCCATGTCCGTCTGTCTGTCCGTCCGTCCGTCCGTATGTATGAACGCAAGGAAATTGTTATCTATTTAGAAAGCAAATGATTAAGTTTTATTGACCTACTGGCAGTTATTTTCCGGCCTTGCCCGTTGCAAGTTTTATGCTGAACATACCTTTTTCAGATAGCTCCCCTTGTCAAAAATTCAAATCTGCTAAATATGCCAACATTATATACATCTGGCTACTATCGGACTAAATCGGTCAAAAAGAAGATATTTCCATCAAGCTCAGCATTCATGAGATATCGATTCTCACATATCTGAAGAGGGGAAATGTCTCCAAGGGTATTAAATATTTGGCGTGCCGAATATATCCTTATTTTCTCGTTTTTTGTTAATTTGAATACGCTAAAAGAGAAGTCTTGCAATAATAATTCTCTATTTGTCTTTGTAATCACTTTATTAGTGTGTTTGTGTATTAACGAAATTTGTATTTTCATTTAGGACCCTCAGTATTTCTTTAAGTGCTTTTTCCCCTGCTGCATTTGGTCTTGATTACTTACATGATTTTGTACGCTTCCTCAATTGGTTAATTTTTTCAAATTATTCCAAATGAGTTTGGGTCAATTGAGAGGCAGCAGCTGCGGGGAGGAAGTTGCCTCGACTCACACGAGTTTCAGTTGCACTTTATTGACATTTTCGATGCGCTGCGCATTGTAAACCGCGCTTTACACTTTTTCAAACTTGACTACGACTCGGCCTGCACATTGAAATTTAACTCAATTAAACATAATTAATAATGCAGACTCACACACGCACGTTCACACATTTACATACTCAGACCCACGCCCGTACCCCCACGCATATGAGGGCGTTCGGGTTGGGGAGTTCAACGAATCGCATGGCCTTTTCTCAGTTTAATTGTTTCATTTTTGGGCCTCTTACGAACCATTGTTTTATTGTCGCTCAGACTAATTTGAATTTCCAGGTGTTGCGCTTGGGCGTTGTTTTTTATGGAACATGCAATTGTAAATGAGTCATGGATCTTATGAACTTAGTTATTACACATGCCCGCACAAGTCGTTACATTCATAAAACAAAGGAAAATTGCAAAAGCCCAGTTTGTTTTCCTTGGCGCCCAGTAGATTATACAAATATCTTCGCTATATTTATATAAAAAGTTTACTTCTGAAGCATCTTGCGAATATGAAAAATTATTAAAATTATGACTTATAGCAATACGAAAGACAAAGAAGGGAAGAACGGACAGACAGAATAAATATCTTATGTTTTAATATGTAGTGCTATATACAATTCTAAAAAGCAGTTATCTCTTACTAAATATGAAGATGTAGATGCTCAAATGTCACACCACATTTAGAATGAAACATAGTAATCATTTTTGAAAGTTTCATCAACAAGTTTTTAGGCCATCAAAAGTTCATTTCTAAACTCTTAAAAATTGAGATGGTTTGTGTTTTCGTTTTAAGACATGCTAAAGATTAGCCCTTCTTTTAAATGGAGATTTCTCTTAATGTTGTAAATTAATATATTTATATTATATTTTGCCTTTATTGTATTTTTAATGAGCTGAATCACACTAAAAAGTTCAAGAAAACGTTCAACATAATTGTTTAAGTGATCCATAAATATTTTATTGCTTGCAATTGCAAATGGGACAGGCACAAATTTAAACGAGATTATTTTACAACTATGGGGCAAACTCAAAATTGCAGTTGATACAGAAAAATACTTAAATACAACCAAAAGTTAAGAACTAAAGCCAAATACTAGAGATCTAGGCCAGCAAGCGGGCCACTCCGAAGAATAGCAGGATACCTCCAGCAATGGGGGCCAGGGAGGCGGAGCCGTTGCACTCATCCTTGGTGCAGACATCACAGCCCAACTGTTTGACGAAGGGCAACGAGGGATCCGACTGACAGCCAGTCTGGATGTTGGATACGTCGCCAAAGTAACAGCTACGCACGATCTGCGGGTGGCCGACAACTAAAAGTAACAATGAAATGTGAGAAATAACTTTCACGTTTTTTTTTTTAAACATAAAAAATAACACATAAGATAAAAGTTGCGTTTACAATGAATGCATTGTTTTCCGGCTGCTCGTAACAATGCAAGTTGTTTGTACTATCTTCTTTTTGCCAATTAATATGAAAATTTACTACGCTCTCGACTCATTTTTCAGTCAACATTTACTTGAGTCAACAGATTTGTTGTTTGCGTTTGGGCCCTTTGGGCTGGTCTGGACAATTTTTGCGGTTGAGTTGCTTAACGATAAGCTTTGACGATCTCAGCAATGCCGCTTATTATGGCAATCAGTTCTAAAATATATATGAATCTTAAGGAAAAACAAACCGTTCGTCATAAAATGTAAGATAATCGTTTGTTTTTTATATTCACTTTTGTACCAGTTAGAAAACATATTCATTTTTTTGACATGTCTGCAATTCAACTCTTTTCAAAAAGAATTCTTAAGGCATTATTCAAAAAAATGATAACGAATAAATATGTTAATTTGCTTCGTTCAGAAAAATAAACAAAGGTTTATGTAAATTTCATTGATATGTAGATTTTCTAAGTTTTTCTTTTAAAGTAAATAAGAAAAACTAAAAATTCCTCCACGAAAATATGGAAAATAGAAAAATCTTTAACAAGCTCAATTCAGTTTAAGTGAAATATTACAATATTGTTTTTTAATATCCAAATTTCACGCTCATTTCCAACTACAATCACGTCATAATTATTTCTACACGCTCTCTGACACTAATCTCAAAATTATACGAAATTACACGAAACCAGAAAACGCGACAATGGCCAGAAATACGCACCCAAATCCAACAACAGCGCAAAACACAGCCCGAACAAAACACGACAAAACGACAACAAAAAAAAAAAAAAAAAAAAAAAAACTATTCATGTACATAAAATGACATCATAATCGGCGTAGCATAAAACGAGTCCCATGCTCGCATGAGAGCTGCCTCTAATGGATGCCACAGATTGGCGAATCTGTGAATATGTCAGAACTTACCGCTCTCGAGCGTCTTCTTCATGCAGCCGGTCGCGTTGCGCAGTGGGAAGAAGTTCTGCAGATAGCGCGGTGGACCGATTCTGGCGCAATCCATTAGCAGAGTCTCATCCTCCTCGAACTTGAGGCCGCATTTGGGTGTTGTCAGCGACTCGCATTGGTAGCACTTGATGGCATAGGCTGGAAGTTAGCATCAGAGGTTATTAGTTCAAACAGGTTTTTCTTTCTCAAATGCGTTTCGGAAATCATAAAATCATAAAATACACACCCGAACAGGCCAGACTAATCATAACGGCCACGGCCAAACTGCATTTCACGGCGGACACCATTTTACTTCTTGTTACTTGATTTGATATTTTTACCGGAGCTACTCTACAATTCTCAACCTATGCTGACAATGTCTGCTGCACGTCTGACAAGCTCACGATTCTGTTGCCCCGTTCAGACGTCTGGCCAACCCATCAGCCTCACTCGCAGTCACCATCCCCCATTCACATATCACTCAGTTCTCTAAGCGCAACAGCGACTGCGCTGCTCACTCTGAGAGTTGAGACTTGAGTGGAAAATTGTGTGAAGGCACAATATTATATCGAACCGGTTTTCACACATTTGTTTTGCTTTTCGTATATGTATAAAAACAACTATTAAGGCGTTATACTATTTTTTTATAAATTGATTATCTTATGCATAGATTTTTGAGCGCAACGGCGACTGTGCTGTCCACTTTAAGTTTTGTTTTGAGTGGAAAATATCATATGTACCATTTTGATAAACAAGCCGAAAATAAGTGTTATAAAATGTTATTCTGAGTAGTTCTTGAACCGGTTCTGCAGCACAAAAAAAAACAAGTATTTATATATGTTAGTGAGCTTCTCAGCTTCTCGGAATTATTTACTCACAGTATTCCAACCATTTTTCTTAACTTTTTATACTACTAACTTATGTTTTTAAGAAAAGGGATTGATCTGAGCTATTGTACTTATATTAAGCAGCTGTTATAATGATTGTCTGTAGAATGAATCATTTTAGTTCTTGACTCGTTAGCACACAGTTGTCAATTTATTATTTGTTTTCCGTTTCTTGAAAGAGGCATTAAAAGACAAAAGATCTTTTTATACCCTGAAACTATTTAAAATGGTTAAAATGGGTATAATGGTTTTGTGCCTATGTATGTAACAGGCAGGAGAAAGTATATATCTTCTGGGTCAGAATCAATTTACGAGTCGATCCGGAAATTGACGATTGGAACTTCTGGAATTGTATACACAAATCAAGGATCTTTTATTTGTTATTTAATTCGTTTGAAGTGATAGAGTATCCCCTAGTCGTTCACTCCCCTAGAGAGACTATTTGTTTATTTGCAACAGGTAGTTGCGTAGTGAGTAGGTAAAACACTCAAAAATTTTTTAATGCCTCCCAAAAGTATGCAGCGTTATTTTTGAACAACATTTTTCATTCATGTTCCCTTATTACGCACGATCCGGAGTTAATAGGGCACAATCTGTTTTGCAAATGTTCTGCCAGTATAGATTTACACAGATTTAATTAGATTAAAGCAGCGGGACAGAGCCAAAGGCGCAGTGGGTAGCAATGGCCTCATAGTTTCCGAGCCGGGGACAGAAATTGTGGCAAAGCCGCAGGATAAAACTGAAATGAGGTCAGCAAAGAACTCATAGAATATTCACTTATCGTCTAATTGGATTAGCATTGCTCTTAGTGGATTTACCAATCAGTGCTTTGATATCGGATACGCGTATTGGATTAAAGCTGATTCCGGTTCTCTTTCCGATATGCATTGTATATGTATGTTTACATTTTGAGTTTGATTGGTCGGTTCTTCTTATAGTGGGTGTGTCATGTGTGTAATGCGAATAAAAAATATAAATATATAAATATTTTAAATGGGTCGCAAGTTGCTCAGGAAGTAATAGTCAATAATATACGGATTCTCTTCTTGTATAAAAATACACACTAGGGAACCAGTCTAAATATCAACTCACAAAATCGATAAAAATAATAAATATTTTGGGCTTGATTAAAAAAGATATCTGAATTGCTATATCTGATAATATTTTGTTGATAAATCCAAGCTCTTAACACATGAGCTCAATTTTTTAATGAATCAGCAGTTCAAACCGCGGGGCGCAATTTACCATTTGCATAGATTTAATTAGATAATGTCAATGCAGATTTATGGACACCGATGGCAGGTGTCAAACAGGCTGCGATTGAAAACAGCGATTAAAAGAGCACAGAAATGACAGGCAGGACGAAGGATATGCGTGAAATGAGGTCGAAGTGAGTCACTTGTAAGGTATGTAGGTTGCCTAATTAGATTAGCAGTGGCTTCGATTAAGTGAGGTAATTTGAGCTACAGTGGAGCCCAAGATAGTCAATGGGATGGCAAGCTTATGCAGATTATTGGACGAGTAAAACAAGAATATGCGATACTTTAAGAGATAGTGTTTGCTCCCGTATCAAAGCAGTCTTCGTAATCAAGAGAGGCAAGGATCAACTTTAAATACAGAGACTTGACCAATACTTAACTGGACTTTTATATAAAAAGGATAAGGTCAACTCTAATATATATGTAGATCTAACGATGACGAGTCTATAATTTCTGCCTGCGGTTGTGATTCAATGGATTGGAATAACAAGGAGTATCTGAAAGGAGCCAAAAGGGGATGACTAGGTAAGGGCAAAGATAAACTCCTGCCTGTTACGCCTGTTTCATATATCTACGAACACGAATGACTGATTTTTTTAAGAGGCAGCCATATCAAATATTGATGAAGGGTGTTATTTTAAAACTCTGGCAGATACAATTGCAACTTTGCAGCATTTCGAGCCTGGCCATCTACATGGAGTCTGCCAATAGTTATGCTCCATAAGCTTTCCCATAATAAATAAAACATTTAAAAATGTTCACATAGATCATAAACTTTATTTGGGTTGTGTTTTTTTCTGTTTATCTAACTGTGATAAATACATTTGAGAATGCATGCGGTGTTTGACTTGTACAGTTAAAATATTGTTTCATAGTTTTATTATTATTATTTATGGGTATATCTTTTATAGAGCGTGGCTTGTTGTGGTTGTAGTTAATACTCCTGTTAAGCTAAGCTAGTACTAATTTGTTTATCCATTTATTGTTTTATTTAAAATTATTAAGGCAAATTATGAATTAGAAAATATCTCTATAAATAATAAATTAAAATACAGGCTTAACATAAAAGGACTACAGAGGAATAATACACCTAAAACTAAACTAAGTAAATTATTAAAGTTAATCAGCAAATGGCTTAGCATTTGGGCTAAACAAAATATCACGTTCTAACTAAAATAGAGATACGATTGAAGCGACTGCCGCTCAGTTGGCCAACTGATTTCCCAAGGCCAGAGCGGGCAGCAAAATGACGGCCAAGAGGGCGGCGAGGCGTGTGGAGCCATTGCAGCGATCTGTGAGGCAATCCTCACAGAATATTCGTCGCACATTCTTCTCCGGAGTGGTCACGTTGCACAGCTCCACGGGATCCGACTTGTTGGTGTAGTAGCAGAAGCGTTTGGTTATGATCTTGCCATTATCTGAAGTTAAAAAATGTGTAAGTAGGGACTCTTGTAATCGGCTTGCTCTACTTACACTCCTCCACAGTTTTGCGGCAAACGGGACGCTCGTGATCCGAGTTGATGCTGCTGTTGCAGCTGCGCAGCAGATTTATGTTGCGCTCCTTGATAAGATCCGTGGGTATGTTATCCTCCTGAAAGGTCACATCGCAAAAGTCCTCCGCTCCAATGGTGTCCGAGCTGCAGTGCCAGCATTGCAAATGTTGATGTTCATGTGCTGTAAACATGGCCAAATAAAAGATTCGATTAGCTTGTTTACTACACGACCTTTAGGCCTGGCCTTAATTTGGCTTGAACTCTTATGGCTGGCGTAAAACTATTCATACATTTTGCCCATTCAATTGTGGATTGTGTATCCGGGGCTTGTTGAGCTGTTGACATCATCAGTCTTTGTGCCAAAAGCAAACCAAACTAACTTTATGTGTCACCACCCCCAAATTCAGGTCCAACCCTCGTTGAATATCCGTTCGGCAGCCGCAGCAGACTGTGAATTGTGCGTAGCGAGTCGAAGCGGCGCCTTCATTGAATTTTTATTACGTATACGCAACTAAATGCCATTTGAGAGCAACTGAAATTTATTATTGCACCCGCAATATAAACGACTCTTTTTGTGGCTGAGAGAGAACCAAGATTTTTATGAGATTTTTGTGCGTCCATGAAGCACTAAAAACTGTTGACTCGCAAAATTTGTTACCAAGCTTGTAATTGTAGAGCTTGACCAAAGACGTGCCTAGAGTATTGCATGATGAGTCAGAGGTGTGAGAGTATAGAGTATATTGTCCCCCATGATATATAATGTATTACCATAATAATATTTCCCTTTTGTACAAAATGTCTATTAAAAATTTGATTAAGATTTTTAAATGTCTTTAAATGAATTTAGTTTTTTGAATAATAAAAAAGTTAATTTAAAGTTTCGATAAATTAAAATTATTTAATGATTTTATGCAAAAGAACAAAACATAAACATAAATGGAAGAGAATGTCATTTTACTAAAGAAAAAAGTAAACTTAGTAAAGTAGATAAAACTATTACATATATATTATTGTTGAGAGCACATTCAACTTTTTCTTTGAGTGTAAGTTTTCATGAGAAGTACTCAATAGCTTTGCGTCTTTTTCTCATAACTCTCTCATCACTTTTTTTCGCACTCACTGATTGATTTGCCTAGCGCACTGTGATTATTTTTTGTTGTTTTATCAAACGCTTTGTTTATTTATGTTTTCTATATCATTTGTTTTTAAATTAAATTCAAATTTTGGTAAACATTGACAGAGGAAGCATTGGCACAGCACAAGAAGAGTGAGCGTATTTTTGGAAGTGATTCGCATAAAATTAATTTTTAATTAGATTGTTTGCCGTCGGGGGGAGGGCATGGAAAATGATGTGCCCTGGAACTACCTGCTGGTCAAAACAAACATGCAAATCCATTTTTCTCCACTTAGATATGCGTGATTAGCTGTTGGCTCTGACAGACCCGAAGATCAAGATGGTTCGTTTGGCTTTTGTGTGCCTTCAAGGTTTTTGCATGTCCACAGCACAGCTGACCACAGCAAAAGTTTGAAGGTGGCCAGTTGATAGGGGCAAAACTTTCCTTACATGTTGGATTATTTTGTTTTTTAAAAGTCAACTTGCCGTAAATCTAAATCAAACATGCAATGTTGTCGTTGCTGTTGTTGTCAGTTGTCCGCCAATGTTGGGACCTTGACACGCGTCATGGCAGCTACCGGACCCAGTTCTTGAGCTGGGTGTCAAATATTGACGCCAACAAAATTTGCATTTAATTTTGAAAATGTGAGTGTATTAAATTACATTATTATGAATTTGCTGGCACCTTAAACGTCAGTCGAGCGAGTCCTTCAGCTGTCAGCGCCCAAGACAACATTGCCGCGTGCTGTAATTATTAGTTGTTGTTTTTATTGTTGTTGTTGTTCTTATTGTTGTTGTTATTATTGTTCATTTATGCAGCCCCTAACGCCCACGTTCAAGTCAACGTCTGCATTTTAAGACCTTGTCGGTTCTAGTTCTCAGGCTTCCTGTAGGCTGACGTGCAATTGCGGGTAATTTGCCAGCGCCCTAGCCGAAGCAGTCTCTAGATGGACTAACTAGCGCCGTTTTTATACTCAACGTAATTGATTGTTTGTACGGTATATATCGGGGCTAAGTCAAGGTCGCGTGTTAGCTACTTTCTTATCGAGTTCACGCACAGGCTGTTATTTAAGCACTGCTTATACCCTGTACCCAGCGAAATGATAAGCAACCTCTAGCTAGTATTACCCATTTTTGCACGAAAATATTAGTCATCAGTTATCGAAATCTTTTCAAAATCGGTAAACTACGTATCTATCTAATTACCTTTTAGATATACAACCCATTTATTCACCTTCTCAACCTCTTTTTTATCAAATTAATAGGAAAATATAGGCGCATTCAGAAAATTCTAGTTCTATATATACCCAAATATATGATAAATTCTGTATATACCCAGTATACATATTTTTCTATAGATATTCTGTAAATTCTAAATTAATATAGACTGATCAATAACTTGTTTAGACTAGAGCAAAATCATTTGAAGGATCCACATCGTGAACGTGTTAAAGGGTATTTCCGTGTTGGCCAATCTATTTGTTTGATCAGAGCCATTGAAAATGGAAGCCTTGCAATTGAAGTCTACCGGAAGTTGCTTTCTCTCTATATGCAAATGCTGTATCTCGTTTGTGGGCTTTTGCAACCCCTAACTCAAAAATTGCAACAATATACAGCAAAAGGCTTTCGCACATCCGCACTTAGCTCGCACCACCGAAAAATAAGTAAATAAACTGTCAAGCATAATGAAAAACAACAAGACAAATGTATTCATGGCATAATTTGATACGCATCGGAAGTTTGTTGTCGCCTGCAATTAAGTGAACCCCCCGAGCACATGTCCGTCGGTGAGGGGGTTAGTTGATGGCGGGGGGCGGTCTAGTGTCCTGTGAAGCGTGCTCAATCTGCGCATCCTGTTTGTCAGCTCATTTTGAACGAAAACAAGCCGAGCAACGCCTGTCTCATTATCAGTTATCTACAAATTACGCAATTCATGCCAAGCAATTCGAACCAAACTTGAACCCCCACCACACACAGAAACGTACAGATACACACACGCACACACACAGTCGAGGTCTGTGACATAGTTTCCACGCATCCAGCTAGGTGGGGGCAGAAATCTGTGCTGGATACGCGAGTACAGTTGAGATGAGTTTTGGCTAGTCCGGCGCTGCTGGAAACTGGAGCAGACGCCGTTCTGGCGCCAGTTTGACATGCGCAGTGCTCCGAGCAGATGCGCAGTGGGGTCCTGATTGAATGTAAGCCAATTAGATAATTACAGGACCCTCACAGACACAGCAGCCCATGCCATGATGATTAGGAAAGCAACAAGAATTAATTCCATATTCAATCTGACGCAATTAAGAGTAATTATAATCAGAAGTTCACTTCAGCAGTCAATTAATGCATATTAAGAGCAAATTTAATTAAGTTGCATTGCTGCATTCATCAATGATTTTTATGGCCAAATGCAAATGCACTCTACGCTGTGTATGTGTTCGTGTGTGTATGAGTGTCTGTAAAACAAAGCAAATAGCTTGCAAATATTTAAGATAAATAAACAAGAAGCAATTCCAAAATACACAAATGCATTCAGATTTCCTTCCCATGCCAATCATTGAACAGCGTGAAAATCACAAAAATGCCGCCAAATAACGACACATACATATATTTATTTCTTATGTGTGTATGTATATCTGTAGGAAAAGTGCGCAAATTTTCTGTACATTGACCCACAAAGTGTTTGCGTGTTGGCAAAAGAATGTAAAAAATCAGCTGTAAATTAGCCAAGCCCTTCAAAAAGCAAGACTATCACTGCGATTTTGTGTAATCATAAAAGGATAATAAATTATAAAGGTTTTTTAAATTCTACAAAAATAATATATATTTTTCAAAGCAAGTTACAGAAAGCAAAGTAGGTTACCAATTATGTATAGAAGTTTTCTCTTTCATCTTTGCAGGGGTTAGATCCCTAAACTTTCTCTTATATAAATAAGAAATCTTTTCCCTCTTTGCGGGGACTCGATTCCTAAACTGCGTGCTCAGTACGCAAGCGTAAGTTTTGATACTTAGCTTATATTTAAAATTTGTTACAATAAATATGTCGGCTTGTGTCTAGGCATATCGCTATAAAAATATTCCAAAAAGCAATCGATCAATTTCTATTTGGTTAAACCATTAAATAATCGTAAAAAATAAATTCTTTAAAATTCAATTCACTCACAAATGCCATATCTGACAGTATATACCTCTCTACACCATATATTTATTCAATCAAATTTGAAACAATTCGATTTTCATTCGTTTTCGTCATATAATGCCAGAGATTTATTCTTCAGATTTTCTGTAATTAATAAACCTTAAAATTTGTGCACATGCGAGCAACTTGTGCCACAAACAGCTCTTCAATCTATTTATGTATATATAAATATTCCAAAAAGCAATTTGTTTATGACATATAAAAGCCATAAAACAGAAATACATTTTGCGGTAATCATCAAGATATTTCCCTAAATGTTGTATACGCAGGTGTGAAAATATTTTTAACAGCTTTCCGCTGAGTTATGAACAATAATTGTTGAATTTTTAACTATATAACTGTATTGTAATAAAATTTCAATTTGCACATGTGTAAAATTATTGAACTAAAATATTTACTAACTTCATGGTCATGAAATATTGAATATAAGTAATGAAAGGGCTATCAAATCAAGTTTGTTTATGTCATATGGTAAACATAGGGAAAGAACAGAAAGAAATATCGACAATAAATTAAACTAAATGTTCCATACTCAGGTGCTAAAAATTGTATTATAACTTTTAGTTGATTTATGAAAATAAATTGTTTAGTCTCTTACAATATTCAGCTATGATTTTTATGGCTATTTTTAAGCATGGTATAACTTTTATAAACACCGCAAAAAAAATGAGAAATTCGTAAAAATTTGCCGCAAAATAAAAAGAAACCAATAAATAAAAAATGTACGTAAACAAACTCAAAATCCAAGTGAAACGTTTCATTCATCCGAAAGTGATCGAAAAGCCACACCTGAGACCATTCTCATGAAGGCACATAATTTAGCAGCAACCTTGTTGCCCCAGATGTAATTACACGTAAGCACAGGCCCAATTGGACTTCGCACAATATTAACAAGAAATTTTTTGTTTTAATGTGTTTATGAATGCACCCAAACGCGAGCCACGTGCAACGCGTGACGATCGGAACGAGCGGAACTCACCTTTAATATTGTAGGCGCTGGCCAACAGGCAAAAGCCAGCAATTATGAATTTCATGGGTGCTGACATAGTTAGGAATAGTATTGGATTACTTGGCGCTGGAATGCTAAGGCTACAAATCTCTACAAGGCACGTAGACGGCTGGGCGACACAATGGCGCCGGCTTTCCGGTGAACAAGACGCAGGCGGGATATCAGATTCCTTGTGTGTGTGTGTATCCTTTGTGGGGCTTCTCAATGCCAGGAGCTGCCTTTGTTTGATTCGTATGTACTTTAAACTGCGCGCGATGCAAACGGCTGCTCGTCCGAGTAACGACTGTGCGGCACAGCGAGCCGCAGGCTATGCTGCCACACACTAGACGTCAACGTCGGCGGCAACGCCGACTGCGGCCGCGACGTTGCTCTGGCTGTGTCTCAGGCAATGATGACGTTGCTTGGGGATGCCCCATGCTGCTGCCAATCGGCCAGCCTAACAATTAAGTTAGTTTTCCGCTTGCCGCAAAGAAAAGATTATGAGACGTCTTCAGACAATTATTTAATGTTGTTATTGTTGTCTTAAAACAACAATATAATATAAGCAAATTTTTAAATAGAAAATATAAACTGTAAATTAGTAAGGATTATGCGAAATGATGTTAACTTGCTAAACATTTTTCCTTGCACAAATTAATTGGCAACTTTTAAACTTTGTGTATTATATTAGCTGTTACGTTTCTCGTTTTATGGTCACCCCATTTGTGGTGTGAAACTTGGCTAAGCCTGACAGAAAAGCTCTTGGCTCTGCTTTCCGTTCACATTTCAAAATTTATACATAAACCAGTTTTTTGACTGCTTTGAAACTCATATTTTTTGTATTATAATGAAATATATTATTAAAAATTCTTAAATGTTTTTTATTTGTTTTGTAATCATTTTATTTTAAAGCGACTATAAAGGTCTTTGTTGCCTTGTCAATATACCCTTATACCCATTTTTAATGGGTTCAGGGTCTAACTAATCATTTCAAATCGGCGAAAAAAGCAAAGCAAGTTATATTACGTTATTTTGCAAAATCGAGGACGGTTAGAAAATCAAAACTTTTTTGATAATTTTTTTTGAATATCTAAATTTTGACCAAAATTGACCAATGGCAAGGGGTTACATCACGTTTTTTGTCAAAATCGGGGTCGGCTCGAAAATCAAAACTTTTTTGATTATTTTTGTTGAATATCTCGGCCAAAAAATGTCCGATTTTGTAGTTTTACACCTTTTTATATTTGTACGGATCCCTACTATAAATTTTTATTCAAACATTTTAAATATCAATGGGCTAAAATCAGTTGTTGACCAAAAAACGATTCGTTTGTAAGGTCAATGATTATTTTTTGGAATATTTCAGCCAAAAAATGCCAGATTTTGGAATTGTATACCATTTTATACTCGTAAGGATCAGTACTAACGATTGGCATCAAAAAAATGAATATCTAAATTTTGACCAAAATTGACCAAATGGCAAGGGGTTACATCACGTTTTTTGCCAAAATCGGGGTCGGCTCGAAAATCAAAACTTTTTTGACGAATTTTGTTGAATATCTCGGCCAAAAAATGTCCGATTTTGTAATTTTACACCTTTTTGAATTTGTACGGATCCCTAATATAAATTGTCATTCAAACATTTTAAATATCAATGGGCTAAAATAAGTTGTTGACCAAAAAACGATTCGTTTGTAAAGTCAACCTGTTTTGATGATTTTTTGGAATATCTCAGCCAAAACATGTCAGATTTCGGAATTGTATACCATTTTATACTCGTAAGGATCAGTACTAACGATTGGCATCAAAAAAATGAATATCTAAATTTTGACCAAAATTGACCAAATGGCAAGGGGTTACATCACGTTTTTTGCCAAATCGGGGTCGGCTCGAAAATCAAAACTTTTTTGATTATTTTTGTTGAATATCTCAGCCAAAAAATGTCCGATTTTGTAATTTTGCACCTTTTTGAATTTGTACGGATCCCTAATATAAATTGTCATTCAAACATTTTAAATATCAATGGGCTAAAAAAAGTTGTTGACCAAAAACCGATTCGTTTGTAAAGTCAACCTGCTTTGATGATTTTTTACAATGGGCTAAAAAAAGTAAAGTCAACCTGTTTTGATGATTTTTTGGAATATCTCAGCCAAAAAATGCCAGATTTTGGAATTGTATACCATTTTATACTCGTAAGGATCAGTACTAACGATTGACATAAAAAAATGAATATCTAAATTTTGACCAAAATTGACCAAATGGCAAGGGGTTACATCACGTTTTTTGTCAAAATCGGGGTCGGCTCGAAAATCAAAACTTTTTTGATTATTTTTGTTGAATATTTCACCCAAAAAATGTCAGATTTTGTAATTTTACACCTTTTTGAATTTGTACGGATCCCTACTATAAACTGTCATTCAAACATATTAGATATTTTATTCAAACATTTTAAAAATCGGTGGGCTAAAAAAAGTTATTGACCAGAAACCGAATCGTTTGTAAAGTCAACCTGTTTTGATGATTTTTTTGAATATCTCGGCCCAATAGGGTCCGATTTTCGAATGATATACCACTTTAGACTCGTAAAGAGTAGTACCATTGATTGGCGTTAAAAATTCAAATTTTCAACTAAATGCTTTTTGTGAAAATCGGGGTTGGTTGGAAAATCGGAACTCCGGAATTTATTTATCCATGTACACCTCGCTATCCTAAGCTACTTTGCGCTTTGTGGAAGCGAACTAAAGTCTATATTGATATATAAAAATGTGAACATAAAATAACAGATGGCGCTGCTTGTAGTTATTAAAGTTGGACTTAGATACACTTAAAAAAAATATATATATATATCGCTTAACTACTGCAATGATTCAACTTATTAGTTTGTGATTCATTGGCTGCCACGCACATAATTTGGCCAGTGTGGCAGCAATTGCAAACAGTATATTGCCAAATTTGGCCACACTTATGCCAAAGTATTGGGTGAGGCGCTGAAACAGCCAACAGATATATGTTTTCATATGCAAATCTTGACATTAATCTGCAGCATAAGGCGACAGTAGCCGACGACTCCTCCTGCACACCCAAAAACACTTGACAAAGCGTGAAAAATGCGACTCGCTGCGTTTGGCTGCACGCACACCAAATGAGCCGGCGATCGAGAGCGACGCCATCGCCACACTTGGAGTTGATTGGCGAGCTTGAGCCGAGCAACAACAAAGATTGCAACGGATTAGGAGGTTAAGTTGAAGCCTAAGCCGTGGCAATAAAAAGTCAAATCACATCATAAACTTAAGCACGGCGGCGGCCTAAACTTCTAGCCGGCCAGTCGACCGATCGTGGTGCCCATTGACAGCCAGCCTGGGGCCGTTGGGGCGTATGCGTAACATTTGCAGCCAGCTGAAACGCTGAACAATGTCGATTTACAATATTTACCCATGCCCCCTTGATGATAAATGGCCAGTTTTATTGCATAAACTGTACGACATTTTCGCCAGACACGTCATAAAAAAACTGAAAAAACAGACATACATTTCATGCATGTATTTAAAAAAATAATAATAAAAAAAAAAGCCAAACGAATCGTGGAAAAGCCGTGCGACAACTTTGAATGGCCAAAACGTTTTTCTGGCATAGTTACCACCCATTATTTTTATATTTATTTATATATACAATACCCTAGGATCGTAAAAATTATTGATATGCGATTAAGTTTTGCAAATGTGTGCGGCAATGTCTTCTAATAAAATATGTTACTCTGCATGTTCATTATTTGCAATTATATTCGCAATTCTAAAGTTTAATAAATTGTTGAAAGGTAAACTTGTAATCCAACAATTTATATTTGTATTTAAGATTTAACTGTTAATTAAATTGATATTGGTACTTACAATTATGTATCTACCATAGTATAGATAATTCTAGATAGCTATATATTTAGCTATGCTTAATCTGGGAAAATAGGAAATGAGATAAGAGGCTCTTGAATAACCTATGCAAATACCTATGCATTTATTTATATTTATTCTTGTAGTGTTTGTTCTTTTGTTCTAGAAAATTTAAGCATAACAGTCCTATAAAAATCAAAAACTAATTTTTAGTTCTGATATTCCTTTCACAATTACCGGATAATAAAAACAGCAATTAAGTATCTTAATCTAAGTACAGGGTATATACTAGTTAAGCACTCTCTACCACAGCACGCGCATTTGCATTTGCTTGTTAATGTTTTTGTTAGACAGCTTTCAGGTATGTCTCAATGCTTGTGACAAATTTTCTGAAAAAATAATGCAATGATCACGCTTTAGGGCGGTACCAAACCAAAAGAAAAAAAAACGAGAAAGTAAGAATATTTTCTGCACGCAGAAGTCACAATACCCTTATTGGCTTACTGTTTTACGCATATGTAAGAATAGTGAAGGGTATGAAAGCTCCCACTTTAAAGCCTAAACCTGAAGATCTTCCGGACAAATCAAAGACTCAATTGACTTGGGTCAAATGCCAGCGCAGGCACTGACATTTTTGCGTGGTCGGCAATTACCCAGAGACAATTCTTAAATGTGGGCAGTTCCAGAACTGAACTCATTTCCGTTCTGCTGCGATTGCCGAACCACAATATGAATGACGCATCGGGAACTCAACGGCTCATCCAATTGTGTATCTGTATATCTTTTATCTGTGTAGCTTGCACAATGTCAAGCGCAATGATGTGAGACAATTATTTTTGATTTGCTTTTGAAATTAAAAAATTTAAGGTTACGTGGGCCAGGCAAAACTTGGACTGGAACGGGGAGCTTTAACAAATAAAGTGAATTAGTTGGAAATGCCCGACTAGGAGATACCCCAAACCTCTCTCTACCAAAAACACACACATTTATAAATGGAAAATTTGACAATTATGTATTCTTAATGGGATAAGGAATTAGAAAGAAAAACTGATCTTAATTATCTTTTATTGTTTCATAAAATGAATGTATTTGAATAAAACCAATAGCATCAAAATTGTCTCCGTTGTTTAAATTGAAATTTTTTTCATTTTGCGAAATGTGTAGGTGAGTTAAGAAAAAATAAAAATTACCCATTGCTGGTATACTATACGAGAAGCTACATGAAAGCCTACGAGATATGCTCAAATTCAAGAATTCAATATCGATTTTTATCGATTGCTTAGAAAAAATGCAAGTTATCGATGCGAACATGCATATGAATGGACGGACAGAAAAGCAACCAGACTCACAATCTTGGCTAATCGACTCGGCTGTTGATGCTCATCTAGAATATGTGTACTGCATGGACTCATTCTATAAAATTACAAAGGATTTACATAAAAACCTTTCCTGTACTCCAAAGAATTATGATCTGATAATTATGATAAAACAATATTTTGAGCCCTTGATTATATTATTATTATGTATCTTATGTAAGTAGCTAAAATTATCAACAATGCTTCAATCATAAGTTCTCCTTGACAGAGAGCTAAGAATCCGTGTTTTAGTGCCAGCGCATAGCCGCCTCATCTAATAATTTTATTAAAAACATTTAAAATTATATTTAATAAATATGCAAAAAAACTTAAATTATTAAAAAAAAACTTTAATTTAGAAAACAATGCTTTTTTTGTTACCATCTAATCAATTTATTTGCAAGACACCATAAAAAAGTGCTTCGATTACATTTACAATAAGTAATACAATATTACAAAGGCCTATATATGTAAAGATGTCTGTGTGTGTGAGTGTGTGTTGGTATGTGTGTGTGTAATCAATCAAATGTGTGTTACCCAATTGGCGTGCAAGTAGAATATGCGACCGTTTAACTATAATTTATTGATTGCTTAAGACTGACCAAGTGGAAACCTTTGAATGTTCTACAGCTACATAACATTTACATTTAAGATTTTGTATAGTCTGTATAACATATATATGGTAATTTTATGATATATTTATAGCGAAGTGTGACTGCCAGCAATTGGGTGCTGAAATTTAGTGCATTACTTGAATCTTTATAAGAGAATTTCGTAGTGTGAGTAAAAGTCTGAAAGATATGTCGAAAAAAACGCGACTTAACTAGGCGAAAGGAATTTCAACGCTTTAAATTCATTTTTGCATTTGCTTCATGCAATTAAGTGTGCAGTCTCCACCCACGGCTGAATTTTGCCAGTCATTAACTCATTTGCATAGCTGCTGCCTCAGTGCGGCGAGCAGGGGCAGCACTAGTAGCCCCACCAAACCGGAGAGTCCTCCAGCCGAGTTGCAGCCATCGGTGGTGCAAGTGCGGCAATAAACGGTCTTGATGTAGGATGAGGTCGTGTCCATGGCGCACTTGTCCGGCGCATCGTCCACATCCTCGTAGAAGCAGGAGCGCGATATGACCCGCTTGCCATAGACTGCAATGAAACGAACGCCATAATAAACTTTAAATATTTGCTGGCAAACTATTTTTTAATTAATATATCCACAGTGAGAAAAATGTTGCACATTGAATTTAATTTATGTGCCGCGCTGTTTTTGCGTGGGCTTCGCGTTTCCATATACTGCGTCCGTTCGGTTTGACTTATCTCAAAAATGTCATTTCAAATGTCGTCCAAATCGTCGATCAGGTGCTGGCTAATGGCTGCCTGCCAAATAGTCAAGCTGTGAGGTAAGTGCAGCTGATGCAATTGCCTAAGTTTTTAAATAGATAAATAGTAAACAAAAATCCCACAGTTTTAAATAAAATGTAGTCCCCTTAGTGTACACGTGTCTACTGTTAACTATGTTATCCCCATGTTTTTCTTAATAGTTTCAGATTTTGCTAAACTATCTTACAAACTGAATGTTATTAGTTCGATTACTGCAAGCCGCATTTGATTCATTTCCATATGTTCCCTTATGCAGACGTTCGAACACGATTTTAGCTTAGCTGAAACTATCCTAAATTTGTTGCTGTTGAAAAGAGAATTTAACGTAATTAGACTACTTTTATAATGACAGTTGCAATCTGCATTTCAGTTAAATTTTCATTAATCTGCCTGTTAAGGAGGAAAGCCTCTGCCGAAAACATTGATCGTTGCGCGAGTATTGGTGAGCGTGTTAAAGCTGAGCTGCTGTCTGACTACCACAAAGAAAGGTGTCTTGTAGATGAGTTATCTGTATGTGAAAGCTCTGTGAATTGGGAAAAACCTTAGACAATAATACACTGTTATAGAATTGTAGCTTAAACTGGCTGAACGGCAAACAGACCACTGGCGAAAATGGGTTCAAGGCTTGCTTGCGACCAGCGTTTGCCAGGCCCGGTCTTGCTCGGCTCGGCTCGACTCGGCCAGGCTAGGCCCGACTGGGCCAGCAAAAACGCCAACTGAAAATGAGGCCTGCAACTATGTCTAGAGCTGGCCGCAACATACACTGCCAAAATGAACGCGGGTCTCAGCAAAACGAGACAATTTGCAATCAGCGAAACGGCAAATGAAAACCAGAAAAAATGCACAACAAATTGCGTTTTCTCATTGCGTGTGTATATGTGTGTGTGTTTCGCAAACAGAACACAACAAGAAAAACACAAAAATCAAGAAACGATATAAAACAAAATCAACCAAAATAAATCGCAATAAAATGAAGTAAAACTTTAAAAGCGGCTCAAAAAGGTGCGCGTTGACCATTTTTGTGATTGGCTCCAAGAAGCAGTTGCAAGCGAGATAGCACACAAAGTGCGTAAGTCAGGGAGAGCGAGAGAGAGAGAGAGAGAGAGAGAGAGCGTGTGTGTGTGTGTAGCAGAGAGGGAGCAGGGGCAGTTGCGAAGGGGGCTCGACATCTGAGTACAAGCCTCTAATAAAATTGTTGACAATTGTCGCCTTATCACGGCCGCGGCATCAAACAAGGCACACAGAATGCAGTTGTCAGCTGCAGAGCCCAAAGAAAATTGTCAGAGCGGAAAAATAACAACAACAACGACAATGACAACAAAAGGAGAAACTCAAAAAATTGCGTATACGCCGCGTGCGCGACTTGAAACCAAGTTGGCAATGTTGCATTGTGTCATAAATTTAAATTTTAATTAATTTAATTATTTATTGGTCGAAATGTGTGTTGGCAACATTTTTCACAGTAACAAAATCGAGAGAGCAGCAGATAAAAAAAAAATCAAATAAAAAAAGGAACAAAAAAATACGCAACGCAATTGGCCAAAAATAGGCAAAAAGTCGGCGACAACTTTTCGGTTAGCCAAAATGCAACAAGTTGCAAAATATTTGCACAGTGACGCACAGTGACAACTAAAATGCAACGCACACTCACACACACACTCACACACGCACACACACACAACGCAAATAGCTAATTGCTTGGCTTGGCTGTTATTTTTATGGAATTATGGAATACATTTTTAATTTGACATTTGCCAAAAACTCAGCCACTCGTCGGCCCAAACTTCATAAGCAATTAATTTAACGGCATATAAATTGAGCAGTAGACGCAGCAGCAGCAGCAGTAAAAATAATAACAACAACTACAACAACAACTGCTGCATCGCCTAGTTGCATTTTTCTCAGACATTTGGCTAGCATTCTGGCTCTGGCTCTGCCTCTGCCTCTGCCTCAGCGACTGGCTCTGCCTCTCCACTCCCTGGTCATTGCCGTAATTGAGCGCTTCACGCTGTGCAACAACTTAATTAATTTATATATAATTTTTTGTTTGTTTGTTTTATTTTTGCAAGCATAGTTTATTCGTATATTATGTACTCGCATCTCGCTGCTCATTTGGAGACCGAGCCGCAGTTGAGATTTGCCGCTTGCAATTTTAATTGCCAGCCGCAAATCTTTGCAAATATTCGCAGCGCCAATTTGTAGACGCTTGATTGCAAAAATTTAATGGTGTTCATTAATTGGCCATAAGAAATTGGCCTGCTCCAAGCCGGGCACTTGATCATATGCCAATCGTTGGAGATTAGTTATGTGCAACAGTTTGTTGCGATTTTTAATTAGCGAATTTTAATTTGACGTTTGTGCTTGAAAAAAGTCCGGGAAAATCAAGATGAAGGTCACGTAATATGCAATAGAGGAAATTAGAAGACGCAACTGATTCTAATAAAACTAGCGCTAATAAAGGCAAGCAATAATTAAATATCCAGCAAATAAAATATGCCAGCTTAGTAAGATGAGTCTTAAAATAATCGGCTAATCTCTTGGTCAAAAATGACTCTAGATTTTTATGTATGTGTATGAATATAGAAAACAACGAATAATTATGTATACACAACCTTTAAACTAGTTTAAAATAAATGGAGATAAAATAAAAAGTGTGGAAGTGCCATATAAATTGTGCGCGCATTGAGCCTTTGTAAAAGTCCTTAAAGAATCCTTTTTATTTAAAAACTATTAAGTTTCTAACTGTCTGCTCATAACCATTTTATTTAGCTAAGGAACTCATCTAGAATTGCATTTATACTATAAATATACTTTCTTTTATACAAAAATTTGTTTTTAAAATATTTGCTTAGAGCAATATTTTGGAATAAATTGCCAGGGGACACACATGCATCCTACAATAAGTAATTCCTGCACTAAAAATAAAAATTCTAAACATAAATAATCTATTATTATTTGCCATTATATTTTATTTTGAATTTACTAAAAACAAATATAAAAAACAAAAAGTTTACTATACTATCATTTAGACAGATTTAAAATCTTGATGTGCATAATTTAATTATGCTATAATAAAAGCCAAAATTTAAGTAACTTTAAAGTGAATAACTTTTTTGTTAATCACATAATAATATCAAGCACAAGCAATATAAGTCCGTTGTGTATTATTTATGTGAATAATAACAGGTAAACAATTAAAACGGAAATGGAAATAAACAAATGGGTGGATTCTTTGGCTGCTGTTATCAAAATTGAAATCAAAAAACTGTCCACAGATATTTAAATGAGATAGAAATGCAGCGATACGCAACGTTTGGCAAATTGAGCAGCGTACGAAAATTGAATTTCATTTTGCTCGCCTTTTTTATGTGCACTTTTGTGTTTGTTGTTGGTTTGTTGCTGTTGCTGCTGTTGTTGCTTGTCAAATGCAAATGCCAACAAGCGGCACAATTTGCACTCGCCGCAGGCTGAACAATAAAAAACTAACAAAAATGCCAAAGCTGCAGCCAGAGCCGCCGGCACAGCCAAAGATCGACGACTGCAACACGAATATCACTCATACGCCGCGTGTGTTGGCGTTGGTTTTTCTCCCTCTCCTTTTTATTTTATTTTGTGTGCTCGCCACATCGCCACATAAATTTGCCGTAAATTAGCGGCGCATGCAGCTGGCCTGGCATGGCTTGGCCTGGCCTGCCCGGCTTGGGCCAAGTGTCGCCAGCACTTGTGCAGCCACGCCCCGCCCCGTCAACGCTCAGCAGCAGCAGCAGCAGCAGCAGCAGCTGCAGCAGGGAACGCGATCGCAAACGCTGAGCAATTGTTTCGTTGCGGCTGCCTCTGTGGATTTGTATGCCGCACTTGCTGCTGCCGACTCTGTCAGGCCAATAAATCTCAATCTTGTTTGACGCTTTGTGGCAGCCAACAACAGGCGGCAGCCTCGCGGGTGTGAGCCACCGGTGGGTCCCCGCACTCACCACAACAATGCCGCAATTGACAGTCCAACGGGCATTGCTGAATAATTGCTTATCTCTGATCTGTGCTGGGTGTCTGCTGGCTTGTTGCTTACCTTCCTGCACGAGCTTCTTGCAGACGGGCCGCGCATTCACCGACTTAACGCCCACCGAGTAGGTGCAGTTGACATAGCTCCAGTAACGCTGCTGCTCCGAGATGCTGTCCGACTGGAAGGGATCATTGCAGAATTCGCCATTGGAGACATCTGTGGAACAGCGCCAGCAACGTAGAACTCCAGAGGCTGCAATATTTGAAAATGTTCTTATTATGGGTGTTTTTCAAATTATTTAAATATTCATTTTAACTAAACAGCGAACTAATGAACTAGACAGACAGACTAACAATATATGATTATTAATATAATAATAACATAGTGTATATTATTATTCGTAGACATTCAATTCATAAATGTACAACACTCCATTAATATAAAAAGTATGAACTAATTCAAATTTTGAATTCAATTCAAGGCAATAAGCCCTTTATTATATGTGTCATAATATGGGGAGAGTGATGCAACCCAACTAGGTACAATTAGAGACATATTCCATTCAAGTCAGGTGCCACAGCTGGAACGCAATTATATGTTATCAGAGTACACATTACGAAGCGTTGTAGAATTTTGTTAATTGAAATGCTGAGATGTGTGTGTGCGTGTGTATATCCCCGTTTAGATAATCCATAAACTAAGTGAGTAGTTTTCGCTCTAAATTGCAATCAAGCGATGATTTTGATAGCAAGTGCATAAATAATGGGCCACGAGGCGAGATGCCTGCTGCGATTTGTAGTTGGCCGTTAGCCGTTGGCGGCGGCTTTTGAAAAATGTTGCAGCTAAAATTAATTAGACACGGGAGCCTTTTGGCTGAGTTATTTATGGGACAGTCGATTGGAGAACTGCCTTATAAAAGTGTCAAAACTTTCGGCTCTTGGCGTTGTTTATGCCCACGATTTGGCCAAAGAGCGTGTTGAATAATTATTAAACATTTTATTTTGGAACTGCAAAAGTCGCTAGACTTAACTGAGCTCAGCTCTGTTCTAAAATGGCATTGAGATAATTTTTCATCGGAGTCTGTCCGGGTTTGCTCTGGACGGCAGCGGATGTTAATGTTGATGTTGATATTGATGTTGACGACGACGACAATAAAAACCCGTTTGTGGGGCCAATTTAAACGTCAAACGTTAACGTTCAGGTTAAATGCACTTAACCAACACTTTGAGGTGCGTTTAAATGAAAGCTTAGATAAACAGCAAATAGCCTGGCCCGGCTCGGCTCGGCTCGGCCCGGCCTGGCCTATACCCAACTGAGCAAACTGTGCTGAACGCACTCGAAACGTGTTTTTGGCCACAGTCTTCTATTGGCTTTAACCGCATTTGGCCATAAACAACAGACATAAACATTACAATTTTGCGTATTTGAATAAAAAATACAATAAAATCAAGAAACCTATTCGGACTTCATTTTGCATTGCTTAGAAATTATTATCATTTACAATATATTGAAATTAATTGACATCTGAATTGTCAGATCGTTGGCCAAATTGTTTATATGCGTGTAACAGTGCGCGCGCAGTTGCGGTGGCAGTTTACTAATGGTAATGACTGTAATTGTATGCAACATGAAAATTGATATTGTGCGCGCGTTTATGCCAAATGTTTTGGCAGTTCCAAACAGCGACCCAAAAATGGTTACACACATCACTTTACCAGTGTGTGTGTGTGTGTGTGTGTGTGTGTGTGCTTAAGTAGTTTCTTACATTTATATAAGTATGTTGCAGTTCGATTACCCAAAGATATGCGTTTGAAAAGTAAAAGGTTACATGGGCATACATTACGAAACGCAAGAAAAAATAAAAAAATATGATCTACTTATTGTGACACAAAAATAAATAGTAGATGGTCTGATAAAATCTCAGACTGCCTACTGATCATATGTGGGTAAATATTATGGGAGTAGGACTTTTATATATACATTCAAAAACTGAAAATTAAATAAAACAAAAATTATAATTTTATCAACCGTTTTCCCTATTCAAATTCCAAGATCTAAGAAGCATATCAAAATAACTATTATCTTAGTCTCAAAAGTTAATACAAAAGTTAAATTCTATCGGAGCTTATTCCAAGCATTTATTTGCCAAATACATTAAAACAAGACCTGCTGTTAGGTTTGTACAAAAAAGTCGAAAAATACTCATATCCAACTGTCGCTTGATAAGGCAATTATAGTCCGCACTTCACAAGCACATTTCATTTAAACAGCCGCAGAAACTCACAATTTTATAGCAATTTTCCTGGGTTTCGCCTAAGTAAAATGGGGCGCGCCTATGTTATAAGCCGGGTTGAATGCACTTTGAGGCACTGTAACTTTATATCAACGACTTATGCAAAAGTCAGCAATAATAAACTAAAACTTGGGCCTGCGACTTTCCCACACACACACACACACACACACACACACACACACCCTACACACATAGTAAAGTTCACATGCAATTTTCGCATTAGCTTGACTCAGTTGAGCGGGGATTTACTTCGAGTTAGAGCTGGGGTTGCAATTGTAACTGAAGTTGAAAAGTTTATGTATCTGAAAAGCTTTAAAAAACGTGTTGATTATCAGCAATCTGGCTCCCGCCCAAAAAACGGCAGAGCCCGGCAAAGTCGCTGACAAACGGCACCATATCTAAGCCATAAAATCGACAACTTACGAGTGTGGACCTAAACCTTAGAAAGAGGTGCCAGTTAGGTGCCGACTTACAGGGTAAAGGCAGGGGGTAGAAAGTTTGTATTTACAGACATGCAATCAAAGTTCGTTCAACTGAAAACTGCCAACGACAATTGCGACGACTTCTCGAACATTTTTCAAATAATTCCGCATTTGGCCCAAATGCTTGAATAATTAGACGTGCATTATATGGAAATGTGCTGGAATGCGAGGGGTTTAGCTATTTACAGAGGGTTTAGCTCGAATGGAAGGCGAATATTAACATTTGTTTACATATATCTTGTAGATTGATCAGAAAGCTAAATATCCACACCCATTAAAACGCGCCCAGCTCATTGAAAATCTAAATACACGCGCACAAATAAGAGCATAACATTTGGGAATAATGACATCTACAGTGCTCGACTAGAAGATACCCAGCAAAATTGCATTCTCTACTATCGGCACTCTATAAAACTTGCAAACATCAAGGGCTCTATAACATGCTACAGAGCTTTGTTTTTGGACCAATATGTCACCTATTGCCAGTTACATAAGTAGGCATAGATTTAGTATACCCTTTATAACCATTTAGAGAGTACAGGGTGTGCACGAAAGATTCCATTGCAATGTTGTAAAATTATTTAATGACTTACACGTAGCACATTAAAATGATGACATTTTGTCATGCTTTCGGTCTTTTGGGTGTGTGTTGGTTTTGAGGGATTTCAGGGTTGGTTTTGCAGTATAATGATTGCTCCGATTGTATCTCAGGCAAATTACAATAAACCCCAGTGACATGCATGTCAAATGATAAATAGTTGCGCTTAGTCAGTTAAGCAATTTGCATGTGAATTGCTTTAATTATGGAACTTCTCTTTAGCACACTAATGTATAATTAATTTTTAAAATTTTTGTTAATTATTTACCCTGACTAACATTTGAGATCACCAGCAAACCAAATGAAATGCCTATTATAAAAGTAAACAACTTAATAAACGCAATTCGACTTGTTTCATTCAAAAATGCAATTATTTGGCGCAGTTTTCTATTTTTCTTTGCTGCTAAAATTGGGAAATGGGTGCGACAAAATATAAACAATTAGTTAAGGCCCCCAGAAAAAACAAAATGAAAATAAAAAACAATACGAAAACAAGGTTGCAAAAGGCCAGACTGAAACTGTCAGTGTCCACAATTTAATGGAGGTGCGTGCTCCAAAGTTGCGAGTGGACACAATAAAAACAAAATTGCTGACAATGTGTCCAGAACAGAAGCACACGCCCATAAAACTTACAAAACAACAAAATAACGTAGACACACATCAACTTCCAATTGAAGATATGACGACATCGCGAAGTTACAAGCTAAAACAAGGCCTATCTACAAGGCGCCAAAAAGATTCCATCAAGAGTATGTTTACAAAAGTTGAAGTTTAGTCTATTAATAGTTAAGTGAACTACACCTAAGCTCAAACAACATGAACAATATTTAAATGAAGTATTCCAAATATATATATAAATAAAATATAAATACATAAATTTTCTACCTAACAAGAGCCTCATTATTTTATTTAGAAGCTACAAATTTGGAGTAAGTGGGTTACATATTTGCAATATTTGCCAGACTTGTTCTCACCCTGTAAAGTGTTGTATAATGTTGAAATGAAATTTCTAATACATAGATTGTGTTTTAGCTTGATCAATATCAACAGCCCATTCGATACACTCATGTCTTTCAAGTCGATATACTCTTGTCCGTCCGTCATTTTCTTTGCTTCTTTTTCTGTTTCTAGTCTCTCAGCTTAGGTCTTTCACTCCTTCTATCTATATAGTGAGCATTTCTAGTATATCACAAAGCAATCAAGAGAATATAATATATATGATATGAACAATATAACACAACTCTATCTCAAAGCACAATAGAAAGAATCTGACCAAAAATTAGCTGCTGTATCGAAAAATGTTGTTTGCAAAATATCTTTACCAAGCTCAGCATCGCATTGCTCCTCACTTAACTCTCAGACCTAAATCTTAGTCTAAAAAGGATGTAATCTTAAATTTGCAGAAAAGGGACGTTCCTTAGCTGTTAGGTGTAACTGTTAATTAAGAAGGGATATGTTTGTGAAACATTTTGACAGTTTAATCCTTTGGGTAACTATTTAACTACATTTTTATACTTTAATAACACACAAAATCCTCAGATGTCGTTTAAACGGCATTCGTTTGCTATTTGCTCACCAAGAAAATTTATTTTGAAAATTATTTTATCTCACTCAATGCACATCTTTGGCTATTTTTTAAGCAATTAAAAACTAGACTCCTTCAGTTTTGCTGGACAACCCATTTATCTTGTTTTTTATTTCTAAACGTTTCGATTCAATTAAATGCCACCATTTATTATGCACTTTAATCAATTGAAGCTCCCCAGTTTTCTAGTTTGTAGCCCGGAAAATGCGGTGCTGTTCATTTAATGTGGCTCGTGTTAAGAGTGAAGAAAATGGCACAGCGCTTATCCATGTGTATGTGTCTGTGTGTGTATCTAAAAGTTAGCCTCATTCAATGTGCTATATTTATGTCTTATGAAAAAATTCATCAATTTTAAAGGTTGTGAAAATATTTTTTCAAGCGGCGCGCTAGCTGTGTGCAATCTGTCGGTGTTTTATGTATAAATAAATAGAATAGCCGACAAGTGCATAAATATAAATAAATCATGAAGTAATCCATTGCAGGCGCTTCACACAAAACGTTAAGTATACGCCCCTGTGACGGCAGGCAATCAAGAGCGCATTGAACGTCATTATTGGAGGCTGAAAGCTGTCCGAGATGAGTGCATCTTAACAATAGCATTGATAATGCCAGACAATGCCAGCTGCGGCTTATCAATTGGGGTCAACAAGGAAATTGATTGATTATCACAATATAATAGAGCTTCATTTATGTGGGTTGCTGAGGGGGCACATTAAGTATACGTCAAGTATCTCTGGAAAATTAACAAATAGGATCTAAAAAGAATGACAATTGATATGGAATTAACCCTGATATTATTTGCATTACTTTCTTAAATAAATGTATTTCTGTTGTTTCCCCCATTTTGGTTCGATGAACCCGAGCCCATAAGACCGCACCACTCAACGCGTGCACACACTTAATTAGCAGGAAAACTCATGCGAGTGCACGCACAGAAGCTGAACACCCACCTGCATCCAGGCTCAGCGCAAGGGAGAGCAATCCCAGCAGCAGCACGGAGCAGGAAGTGTAGGGCGACATGGCAGATAGGGTTAACAACTTGTTGTTAATGTGGGCAGCAACTTGTTGTCAACTGTTGTGTAAGAATTTCTTTAAATTTATATTTACACACAGCTCTTCACTTTGCACTGCGATTTCGTTGTATTTCAAAAAATTCGAATATTTCGTAAGGTCGCGGCATACGCATGCGACGAGTTGACAAACTGAATGCGAACTGAATCGAAACTGAACACGAAAAAGCGCCACAAGTCGCAGCCAGCAGAGAGCAGCAGCGGCAGCAGCACCAGCAGCAGCAGAAATCAACAACAAAACGAACCAATAACAAAACGAACGAACGCAAAGCACAAACGAAAATGAACTAGCAAGAGCGAGAGCGAGACAGCAGATCGTTCAATCAGCTACGTTTCAATCGCACTACACGCAGAACTGCAGCCAGATTGAACCTAACAAATTGAAACACAAAACTGAGCGAGAATTTAAGATGGAGAGCGGGGCAGAGGGATAGAATGCAGGCAGGCGAAGATACGCATGGAGCGCAGTTGAAGTGTCGCTGGATTTTATATTGAAGTTTTTTATTTATATGGGTTTGGGCCGGGAGCTGGTTAAGCACTTGTCTTTGGCCCGCTCTTCTAATGGTTGCCACAAAAACACTTGCAGTTTCATATGCCGCACAGTGGACTCAAATGCACTGCTAATGGATAAACAATAAAGACGTTAAATGATAAAATTATAATTATACATTTTTGTTGATAGAAGTGATCCGCGCTTAAGCCGGAGAATGGCTCTAAGCTGGGGATTCTTCTGACGATGTACACTCTGGCAGAATGTGTAATAATAATGTGGAATAATAAAACAAAAAACATGTCAATCCTTACTTTACCGAGAGTTACAAGATTATTCCTTTATAATCAATTTGATGGCTTTTTACTTGTCCTTTTAAGAACAATATAATAAATTTCTTGAAAAAATTCCTTTTTAGTTACACATGACAGCTGTCCTGATTGTGAATCTCGCCTTCTATAGTAGGGTACATACAAAATCAAACTTTAATCTTTATATCTGTAACCTTTTATCGCCTAAAATATCCATTAAATATAAAATAAGACTGAAAATGTAGAAAAGATGATATCTTAGACGTATTTTTATAGTTTTATAAATAAATAATACTACTATTTAAGAGCAATAATATAAATTGTATTGCGTATCATAATTAAAAACGAATAAAAAAATATTCCGATTGGAAAGAAAAACATATTCTACATTTGACATATAGTTTTGCCAGCACTGGTCCCACTGTGCGCGAAGCCATTGCGTTTTCCTGCACCATTTACGCTTGATGACAGTCGCCGTTTGTCGGTTTGTCAGTTTGTCGTTTTGTCAGTTTGTCAGTTTGTCGCCAGTTGCAATTGAATGCTAACTGCGAGTCTGTCGCCATCTAATCAAGCGGGGACTTTTGATAAGGAAATGCAATGTTGGCACTTTGCGGCATGGACGCAGCCACTCGCTGGGAGAGGACACCCGACCAGAAAAGTGGTTCAATCTCTGCTTAAATTTGTTGCAAATATTTTATGCGTTTTCTATGGCATGGAGATTTGTCTTTTATTGTTTTGCTTTTATGTTCTCGCAACGGGAACTTTACGAGTAGGGACTACATTGACTATTTCTGACACGGAGTACATTGACTTATAAGTTATATGACTGTGCTTAATATCTCTGGCTTGATATTAAACCCATTAAGCTGAAGCAATTGAAGAAGACAGCAAATGCGGTTAAGCACGTGCCATTTGGATTATGAGTATCATTAAACGGGACAGAGAAAAAATAGTAAACAAAATTAATATGAAAGCAGTTTGGAGAGAACAATTATTTAGAGCTCATTTAAACTCTTGAACATAAACAACTTTTCGAAATACTTGGCATATTTCTTTAAAAACATTCTAAGCGTTCAAAACATCATAAATTAGAAAACATTTAAACATTTCGAAAAACATACACAGTTTATATATTTATGACTAGACCAAAGCATTTCTTTTTATATATTTAGATATTTTATTTATAATCTAGCTAAGTATCACAATGATGTTTTGAAATATTAATAATATGAATTTTTGTTTTGGAAATTGACGATTGTTATTCTTGTTCGTCTAGGCCAGTTCAATGCCCAACCAAATAATTGTTGAGCAGCCAATAACCTGGGCAAATACAGTCAAATGGGCGTATGCATAAAAGTACTTACTTCTAAGAAAAACCTCAGACTTAGCTCAAGCCACAACAAAAATATTGGTGTCCCTACCCCCACATTTACATGGAATCAATCAAATTAGCTAGTAGGTTCATCGAACACTCCTCAAATCCAAGCAAGTCCAAAGCAAAATACGCCCCGAGCACATGACAACGCACAAATTCCAAACACAAGGGAAGGCTGTTCCTAGATGGCCATAGACCGATATCTATCTAGCTTTCGCGGGGCTTGGGACTATGCGTAATGTGCTTAGCAGGACAACGAGGCGTCGTTAGTTGTCCTTCGGTGGATTCGGTATTCCAGCAAAGCCCCGACTTGACAGCTGCATACAAATACAAATTAGAAAATAATTATGGCTCAGCTATTATTTATGTTTTAGGGCCATATTCTTGGATCTAGTTGTGGCTTATGTTGAATGGTTGGTCGTTTGCTGAAGCTAATTAAATGGAATCTAGTTAATTACTAGCTAAAACTAGGCTAGGCTTGCAAGACTTATACTACCTGTATCCGCATATCTGTTCGGTTTCGACAAGAATTTAAGTCCAGCAACTGTTCCAACGACAACAAGTACTTCCATTTAGGTGCAATTAACTTTGAAGTTGGTTACGCTAGCTTATGTAAATAATGAACCCTGCTTAATTATGGGGTAAACAGTTTTATAACTCTGCTCAAATCTCAGCTAAGCTATTTTGGCCACGTTGTAAACTTATCTCAAATAATGTGACTTACACAACGGAAGCGGAGCTAGTTAAAGTTGAAATAATTAAGAAATTAAAGCTTTGATCAAGATCAGCCTATGATGTCATGAGGTAGCAATATCTCAAGCTGCGCTTCCAAACAAAGTTGTTTATTATTTTTCAAGAAAAATTTAATTATTTGTCTGTATGTGATAGACATCAGACTTAAAGTTAAAATGAATATGAAATTAAACCAAGTCGAAATTATAGTTGGTTCTATTCAAAAATAAATGTATATAATTACAGATACATTTATTGTACAATAATGGAGCTCATATCCATATGAAAAGAAGATCTACACTACAAGCTAAAAGATGAATTTTGCCAAGTTTCAGAAAGAATACACTGCAGTACTTAATAGCGTAGGATATCCTTCTACTCTCAAATAATACGACTCTCTGCAAGGGTATTAAAAAGTTAGTCAATGTCAGCACCACTTGATTAGCCAATGCACGCACCACCTCGACCACTTGGCTATCCTTTGCAACCCTGCAAAGCCCTAATCCGGGAACCGTTAACACTACCGGCAAAAACTATTTCTATGGCAACGCACACGCCAACAAAACTATTTTTACTTGCCATGAAAGAAACCCAGAAAAGTAACTAAAAAAAACTAAAATGAAGCTTAAAACACGCATTTGCAAAAAAAGTTCATTGAAAACGTCGGAAAGCACACAAGAGCGTGGCATAATCCAATCCCCCAGCTATCCGCTAAGCTGCGTGGACTGGAGCAGCAATGAGGAGATCTATTTCGTCAGGTGTGTAGCCAGAATTTAATTCAGCCCAACTTTAAGGTAATACTCCCCCTGAGCAGCGACGACCATCAAATCTACAAGTGGAGCGATGTGAGTCGCGATTCCGTGGAGGTGGCCAAGCTGCCGGATGACTTCATACCCACGGATATGCACTGGCTGCTGCTCGGGGGGCGGAGCAGTGGCGGGGGCAAGGGCAGCGATACTCTGCTCATTTGCAGCAACGACGGACGCTTCATTATACTGAACAAGAGCGCGCGGGTGGAGCGCAGCATATCCGCCCACACGGCGGCAATTAGCTCCGGTCGCTGGAGTCCCGACGGCGCTGGCCTCTTGACGGCAGCCGAGGACGGGGTCGTCAAGATCTGGTCACGTTCGGGCATGCTGCGGTCGACAGTCATCCAAAGCGATGAGGCGATACGCTGCGCTCGCTGGGCGCCCAGCTCAACGGCAATTGCCTTCTGCCAGGGTGGTCACATTTCTATCAAGCCCCTGGCAGCCAATAGCAAGTTGATAAGGGTGAGTTCTCCGGGAGGGAAGTTACGCTCTAGTACATTAAATTACCCAGAACAGTTGAAAATGTGACCCATAGGTATTTCACGAAGGCAAAGAGCGAACGCGCAGCGTTTCGATACAGCTCTAAGCAAAAGTCAGAAGAGAATTCCGATAATGTATATTATATATTTAGATAAATAGGTCAGTTTAAGCCTGAGTTAAGTTAGTCTCTCCAATGCATAAAACGTTATTATGAAATTCTGAAAATGTCGTAAAGTTGTCCGTCTCTGTAAACGTTTCGATTTCAGCGACTATAAAAGCTAGAGACTTTGTATTAAGTATTATTTCGCGTATTTCGAGATGAGATCCCATTGAGCACTTCAGCTTACAAATGTAATAATAAGATGTTGTTTTTGAACACCTTTCCATTGCAGTGGCGGGCTCATGATGGTCTAGTTCTTTCGCTTAGCTGGTCTGGCCAGTCAAATATTATAGCCTCGGGTGGCGAGGACTTTCGCTTTAAGATCTGGGATGCGCAGGGCGCCAATCTGTACACTAGTGCGGCCGAGGAGTATGCCATTGCGAGCGTGGCCTTCAATCCGGAAAAGGACTATCTGCTGGTGGGCACCTTCAACATGCTCAAGCTGTGCCACAGCACGGGCGTGAGTCCACAACAAACTAATCCTTCCCAGCAAATCTCAAGTTCCTATCAATTTTAGTGGTCCTACAGCAGCGCACGCTTTACAGCGCCCAGCGTGGGCTCGTTTTACACGTTGTCCTGGTCGACGGATGGCACTCAGGTCGCCTGTGGCACCTCCACGGGTCAGATGATTGTGGGCTACGCCGTGGAGCAGCAGCTCATCTCACGCAACCTAAAGGCAACAAGCACCGGCCGCAAGTGCATCGCCTTGCAGGACATTGCCAACGGCAGCAAAGACGTCCTCGAGTTTCCGCAGCGAGTCATCAACTTCGCCCTGGGCTATGGACATCTGGTGGTGGCCACCACCCACCAGCTGCACATATACAACGAGAAGTACATCAACACGCCGATCATAATTGATGGCCGCAACGATGCGCGCGTCATTGAAGTGGGCAAGAAGTGGGTGTGGCCAAGGGCAGCTCGTATTGTTTAGACCTTCCCGTTAACTAGCCTACTTGCAGGTACTTCATGGTGCTGGATGCCGCCTCCATTTGGGTGTACACCTACACGGGTCGGCTGCATCTCAATCCTCGCTACCCGGGCTCACAGGCCCAGCTGCCGCTGCTGAACTGGCGCTCCATATCGCTGGGCCTGGACGTGCTCGCCATACGGGACAACTCGGAGACATCGCTGGTGCATCTGTTCGATCTCATTCCCGGCGCCTCGCGTCAGTACGAGCCACAGTCGCTGCGCGCCAAGCAGCAGCTCGCCGAGATCGCCGCCTGCCGGGCCGGCAGTCCGGATGACCAGTTCATCGCCTTCATCGACACCAATCGGGAGCTGTACATCAGCGAGACACGTAATCTCAACGGCGGGGGCACAGCTGAGCGCCTGGCCAATGCCTCCGATGAGATCCACAAGATTGGCACCCAGCTGACGGCCATCAAGTGGGCCAGCGAGACGAACATCTTAGTCGGCGTGCACGACTCCTGCTACAGCGTCTGGTATTGTCCGGGCGAGGGTGCAGCCGATCCCACAATCATTGCACTCACGACAATAACACTGGACACAGCGTAAGCTAAATATCACAAGGGTATCTGTCGAATTTAGATTCCGTTTGTCCGTCCGTAATATCTCAAATATTTCTTAACGCTCTTGAAGCTAGTCTTTTGCGAGTGTACAGGAATATATTTACTATAGCCGAAGTCTGGATTCTCTAGCTTTCATCAAATAAAAGCTTTGCCATTTGCTTGACATGTCTGACATACTCTCTACATGAACAATCGGTCGGCAATAAGGGCTGTGCATAAAAGTCTTCAAGGGAATTTCAACTTCAATCACATATGAGCCTTCCTTCTTATTATCTACTTTATATACTAATTCAATATTTAAATTCGATTCAATTTCGGAATCTATAGGTAGAAAAAGTAGGCTTAAAAGAGAATTTGATCGATATAAATCAATGCATTTATGCTAAATCCCACTCGAGTTATGACTTGTTTCACTCGTTTCAGTGAGTTTGGCAAGCACGTGGCCATCGACAGCTTTGAGGATGCTGTGATCACGTTTCGCTGCGCCGGCGCCCTGTTGCCAGTGAACGTGAACATCTACTGCGAGGTGCTGCATCGCAGCCTGCAGGAGGGGCAGTGGCAGCAGGCGTTGAAGATCTGCCGGCTGGCGCAGCACACGAGCCTGTGGGCGACACTGGCTGCGGTGGCCACCAGGAAGCATCAGCTGCAGCTCAGCGAGGAGGCCTACTCGGCAGCCCTGCAGATCGACAAGGTTAGCTACCTGCAGCACCTGAAGACCCTCGCGCCCTCAAGTGCCGAGCAGATGGCAGAGAACTCACTAATGCTGGGCCGGCTGCTCGAGGCGGAGACCATACTGCTGCACAATCGCAAATATGGCCAGGCGGTGGCCCTGGCTCTGCGCATGCACAGCTGGAAACGTGCACTGGAGATTGCTCTCAAGCATCAGGTGGATCAGCCGGACCTGGATCTGGTACAACGCGTGCTGGAGGAGCGACAACGGTATCTGAAGGCCCTGCAGCGCGACGAATGGGATGCACTGTACCTCAGTCATGTGGTCAAGAATGACAATGTTAGTGAATAAAGATAAAGACTTGGACAAATATCATTAGCACCTATTCTTGAAATCCTTTATACTTAAGCCTACATTCTGTTTATATACTATAATTTACAACTAATTTATATAGTTTTAATATTTGCCTGGGCTCTACAATTCAATACGCTGACCTGACCATTGGCCTGCCCTCAATGGCATTGATGATGTTGTTGGCTGCCAGGAGGCTCATTTCGATGGTCGTCTTCATGGTTTGCGTTCCCAAATGGGGCAGAACGACTGCAAGAGAAGCAAAGCTTAGACAAATATCTTGCAGACAGACTTTAGCTAATACGAACCACAATTGGGCAGCTTGAGGATGGGGCTGTCGGCTGGCAGGGGCTCTGGTGTGGTTACGTCCAGGCCAGCGGCAAGGATTTGGCCAGTGCTCAGTGCCTCATGCAGATCAGCCTGATTGACCAGACCTGCAATAGATGAAATGGTAAAAACTTTATTAGCTGACCCGCCTCTCTGCATATACGCCCACTTACCGCCTCTGGCCACATTGAGAAAGACCGCATTGCGTTTCATTTGCCCGAAGGCCTGCGCATTGAATTTCCCGCGGGTTTCGTCGGTGAGGGGCGCAGCCACCACCAGGAAGTCGCTCTCCCGCAGCAGACGCTCGAAGGGCACATGCTCCGCCTGGAACTCCACATCGTTCTCCTTGCGGGTTCGCGTCGTGTAGAGCATCTTGGCCACATCCCAGCTCTGCAGACGCTTTGCTATGGCCTGGCCAATGCCGCCGAAACCAAAAAAACCAATCACAGAGTCACGAATCTCCACACCCATTCGCCAGTCGATCTGCTCCGTGACCCACTGTGAGCTGCAAGGGAAATTTCGAAAATTAAATAACTCGTCAGAAAATATTAATAATAATTTTTCAATCAATTTTGAATATTTTTTCGAAAAATAATAAAACAAGCTTCCAATTAATTTGTTTCTAAATATGAATAAAAGATTAGCAAAAAGTTAAGTTTTATATGAGAATATCCCACAGATTTTCCAACCTTCTGAAAAGAACGCCATCGTGACATTGTAAAACTTTGTATAAAAAGTTTTTCAGTACAAGAAAATACGTTAGTTTGCGATCAATTTAAAAGTTCAAGAAAAGTTGGCAGCCCGAGTAGAGCTTGAGCTTTTGGCTGAAAAAGCTCTCGCGTAAGCTCTTGCGCACAGCTGATACTCACGCCTCGATGTCGCAGCGTCCCGCATGAAAGTGTCGACCGGCTGCAATCATCAGGCCAATGGCCAGATCCGCCACCGCGTTCTTGACCACGCCCGGCGTATGGCCCAGAGGAATGCGGCGGCGCTTGAACTCCGGCACATCCGCAAAATCAATGCCCGAGGACATGGTGCTCACGGCGCGCAGCTGCGGCCCGGCTGCATCCAGTATGGCGGCGTTCAGCGGCTGATAGTGCGCCCAGTAAATGGCATCCACGCCGGGCACCTTCTCCAGAATCTCCTCCCGCAACGGCGGCACACTCTGGCAGACCACAGTCTCGGCGCCGTGCGAGCGCAGCAGCGCCAGCGCCGGCACCGGCACCTGCGGATGCGAAATGAGAACCTTGAACGCTCTCGAAACACTCATCACGAAGAGACGCGACCTGACGCGCCCGGCGGTCAGCTTTAAACTAAAACAGAACATGGAATATTATGTAAACTAAACAATAATTCAGCTTTTTGCACAAGCTCTCTGCTTCTCTTGCTATCTCGCTTACTCTTACTATCTCTCTTTCTCTTTCCATATCTGTCAGATGTTTACCAAGATCTGATTACAGCTATCGTGATAGCATAACATTATTTTCAAATAAAGATATTTATTTATATTTAATATAAGGGCAACAAATTTCTAATAAACACCAAATATAAAAGATTTATAACAATTTGATTAGCATTATATCTATGCTAGGTATATTGGTATAAAGGAGCTGATTTCAAAGACCGGGACTATAGATACGTTAATTGCATTAAGTGAATCTACTTGACAAGTAGGCAATCAAGAAGCGAATCAAAAATAACGAGCAGTAAATACTTTTAACTAAAGTCCAATTGGCAAACAAAAGGCATTTATCACGACTAAAAATTGGACTAAAAATTTAAGTATTATTGTACTATTAAAACATTTGCAAAGCTATAAGTCCTACTTAAGGGACAGCTGTGTTTTAATGAGCAGAAAGTATACTTGGAGACATTTGATTTCTGAGCAAATAACTGAAAATATAATTTTTTTTTGATTAACATATTACATCATAAAGATATCACATGCTATAATCCTAAATGATGCAAGAACGGGACTTTAAATAATTTGACTTGAAACTATAAAAAATTCTTGAAAAAACATTTTTAGAAAACTTGATTGCTTACCATCCCCTAGATTTGAAACTCAGTTTTCGCAAATATATCTGTAAAAAAAGAGCTACCTATTCAAACCTGTTTTTGCTTGCGCTACGTTAAAACTTAATGAACACGTTAAAACTTGTGGAACATGGGCGGAAAACGTGCATGCAACGGTTTCCACCCATATTCCACAGTTTCGCGTGGAATTATTTTATTATTATACTATCCGATTAAAACTTATTTCCGAAATTCAGTTGAAACTAATTCCACTTCTACTGAACATGAACCCAAAGTTATGTAGATTGAGAATCAGTTTCAAGGAACTAAACCGAGCCGAGGCGCAGCTTAAAATATGTTGCCTTATAGAGTTCCCACGTCGCTTTTGCACCGGTTCTGAGCTGTTGCTACAATCTGAATAGGCATATGCAACATTCGCATTTGATATTATATTATTTAATTTACAATCAATTGTTAATAATGTTCACAGCAATAATCCTTGCACGCTTCAGTGGGTCTCCCATGCGTTTCCATGCTTTTCCTAATAGGCCGGCGACAGCATCCGCTCCCCGGCCAAGCCGCGCAGCACGTTGTGAGCGGCAATCGTGGCCATGTCGGAACGGGTGCGCGTGGTGGCGGAGCCAATGTGGGGTAGAATAACTGAAACGAGCAGCAAAAAAACAAAAGTGAAGTGTGTTTGCCTTGAGCTGCAAATACATGCAGATACTGTATCTAACGATCTGTGAACAGACAAGTCTATCAAGGCAAGGCCTATCCAGTGCTGGGCGTTGAGGTCAAAAGGGTTCAAGGTCAGTCAGATTATGTTTATGCTAATGTGTTAAATGTATTAAAGTAGCAGCTATTTATTTTGTTCTTTTTCTTTTGATTCACTTGAAATGCTTAACAGCGCATTTAACTGTGTCATGCTAAAGGGGCTTGACGTGATTCCCGATAAGATATGTCTGTTCAAAGAAAATATCACGACTTTGGCTTATATCCTACTGGCAGGCACTACGTTTCCATAATTAATATTTTTCCGTTAAAATTTTAATTCAAAAATTGAGAAATTATAACATAAAAATTATAGTAATAAAACTGATATTGCTTATGCTAATTCTAATGCTAATCATAGTTCTAAGGCTAATGCTAATGAAAATGATATTGCCAATGCTACGGCTAATGCTAAGAATAATACACCTACTAATGCAAATGATAATGATAATGATAACGCTGTTGCTAATGGTGGTTATGATAATGCTAATAGTAATGATAATCATAATAATGAAAAGTAATAATAATAATTATAATAACAATGCTAATCATAATAATATGAATAATATTAGTACGAATTCTTAAAAGCCCTCATATCAATTTTAAGTTTCTACCATTATTAATTCGGCAATGCCTCATTCATTCTAGTACATACATTTTCACAAAAGCAATATACCCCATTGTCAATGCTGGGTATAATAATATTGATAGCAATAACAATGTTAAGTCAAAGAGCAGCCCATTTCTTTGAGGTATGGGAACTGATTTAAATAAATAATATTCTTTATGGAGATAACCTAGAAAGAACCTTGGTCATCAATTGCAAAACTAGCCCAAAAACAAAACTCTCTAATTTGTTGGGAAACAAACGCTAACGAAACTGAAGATAAGACTAAGTCACCACGGCGATAAGACGGCGAGTAATTATCACTACAAAATGTATGTATATGTAGCTACAGTTATTTATAAATAAATATACTACTTACCGACATTGTCGAGGGCGAGCAATTTGTTATTGGGCGGCAGGGGTTCGGGATCCACAACATCCAGGCCGGCGGCAAAGATGCGGTTCGATTTGAGCGCCTCGTAGAGATCGTCCTGGTTGACGATTTCTGGAAACAGATGAACGGATGAGCAGGCCAGGCACGGGTGGCATGAAGCTGTACTTACTGCCCCGGGCAATGTTGATGAGGACGGCGGTCTTCTTCATTTTGTTGAAGGCGGTGGCATTGAAGATGCCCTGCGTGGCCGGGGTCAGGGGTGAGGCGATGACGACAAAGTCGCTCTTGGCCAGCAGCTCATCGAACTCCACCTTTTTGGCGTTGAGCTCCTTTTCGGTGTCCTTGTCGATGCGACGCCGTGTCGTGTAGAGCACCTGGTCAATGTCGAAGCCGGAGAGGCGCTTGGCTATCGCCTGGCCAATGCCGCCGAAGCCGAAGAAGCCAATGACAGAGTCGCGCACATCTTGGCCGAGCAGCCAGTTCAGATGATAGTTCTCCCAGTTATCACTAAGGAAAGGATTGTGGATTAGGGCTCCGGATAATTTCAGCTTTGACTTACGTGTCGATCTTCCGGCGTGCCTCGTGAAAGCGACGACCCGCTGCGATGAGCAGACCCACCGCCAGATCGGCCACAGCCGTGTTCAGCACGGTGGGCGTGTGACCCAGTGGAATCTTGCGACGCTTCACCTCCTCCAAGTCGACGTAGTCAATGCCCGCCGACATGGTGGAAATTGATTTCAGCTGTGGCCCGGCGGCATCCAGAACTTCGGCATTGAGTGCATCGTGTCCGCCCCAGAAGACGCCATCGACGCCCTTGATTTTCTGCAGCAACTCCGCACGGCTGGGCGGCAGGCTCTGCACCTGGAAGAGCTCACAGTTCTCCTTGAGCAGATCAATGCCCGACTGCGGCACTTCCGGGTGTGTAATCAGCACCTTGAATGGCTTCGCGGACATCGTGCGATTTCTGGATCTGCGCAACAAAGAACCTTCATTGGGTGTTACCAACACGGCCACAAAGCAAAACAGCGCCAACAACAAATTCAATTTCACAGCCATTCTGCTTGAAGCTAGGTTTGGCCAGCAACTGAGCCGCATACCCACCCCGGCTCTGTATATAGCGACGGCCGCCCAAACTGGCCCCAGTTGCCGTTGATCAGCGACGACAAGCTTCTGAACCGGTTAAGCATTCCTAGTTCGGTTTTAATGGCTTTGTGCTCTTTCGATTTCGAGCTGCTCACTAGAAAGAGAGTCTGCCGTGCAAAGAGTATTTTAAGAGAGCAACAAGTGCTGACATTCTTATTGGACGTGTTGACAAGCGGGAATATGTCACGGCTGCAGATAGTTATTTCTAACTGGAATCAAGCGCTACGCTTAGGGTTGAAAGTACTTTGGAAGTGTCTGAAGCTTAGCAGGAATGTAGAAAGTGTTTAAATAACATAGAGATGTGGGGAAAAAATTACATGTTTTATTAAGTTTTTTCGTAGAAAGTTTTACTTAGAAGTGAAGAAAATTTGAATTTTATATCAAATATATTCCACACGATTGAGGATCTAGTTGTGTTACTTATTTTCTTTTTATCTATAATTGCTGGGAATTTTCAATTATATTTCACTATAAAAACATTGAATTTTATATTGAAAATGTTTGCTTCTAGATTAAATCTAATTTCTATGGCAACAATCAGTTTTCAATTGCAATGTGCTATAATAGTCACACTTCAGCCAGGGTATTTAATCTTCGGCAAGCTATCTCTAGATACTTAGTGCTAAAAATTCTATTTTCTAGCTGTTACACTTCGATTATGAGCGTGAGATAAGATTTGAAATGTTTTTGCTAATAAAAAAACTGTTCTTCAATCAATTTTATGACGCTGCTATTATTCTATTTAATTATTTAGCACCATTTCGATTCGTGTGTGCTGGAAAAATACCCAATTAACATTCAGAATGTTAAAGAACAAATCAAAAACACTTTTGCCTCTCTTCCTGCGGTTGATTAGTGGATCACTAAGAGCGCAATTGTTCCCATGTATGTTCCCATAATTTTGTTTTTAATTACAAAAAAACGTCTGTCAGATGAAAGCTCTGTTCGATATGTTGGGAACTGAATGTCAACTGAAAGCTGTTATGTGCTCTTAACAGGCGCTGCTCTCACTTGCGCTGCCGCTCTTCAAACTCACCAACTATCACTCTCTGGCTCTTGCAAAACTTAACGGCTGGGCGTTTGCCGCGCGACTGAATGGAAAGTCAATCAGCGGCTAGCTTTTTATACAGTTACTAACTTGACGATTGCCAGAAAAGTTTATGACTATGGTGGATAAAAGCTTTATTTTTTTTTTTGGTGAGCAATCGCCCACTAAAAATGGTTTATGATTAAGTTGCATTGAATTTGATCAAGTCCAGAGCAATTGAAGCTCTGCTTATCTTTTCAACGATCATCCAGCAAGCACTTCCCCTCGATTGCGTCGCCGCCCCCGAGCAGAGCATGACATTCAATTTTTTCTTCGACTTTTGTTTATCTCGCTCTCGCATTGCACATTTTGCCGCTCTTTGCTTATCTCGTTTTGTTTGCAATGTTTCTTATCTGAACGGACAGCCAACTTATCCGTCCCAGTCTCTGTTCCCGTCTCTGTCGCTGTCTCTGTCTCTGGCTCTGTGATTGTGAACTCTTTAGCTGGCCCGCTGCTGGGCCAAGCTGCGCGCCTGCTCAAAATACCAGTTGGGGATTTTTTCCATGTCATTTGTGGCGCTCGCATGCGAGTCATTTCCAATTGGAATGGGTCAGGTATCCCCAGCTCTGGTGGAGTCGAGTCGCCATTGGAACGTTGTGGAACCTACTCATACGCCAAATGCTTGGCCCCCGCCAACGCCAGATTCACAGCCTGACACCGCTTTTTTTGTGAGCGGATCTGCTCAAATATTGTCCGCATAGCAGCAGGCGCGCAGAGCCGCACAGCTGCTCTCTTCCGCCCCGCGCTTTTAAATCCCATCTCTCTGTGAAAGCAGCAGAAAAGAAACAAGAAACAGCAGATGACTTTGGCTCTGTTGCTGTCGCTGCCACTGCCACTGCCGCTGGCGTCGGCGTCGGCGTCGGCAGTTGTGTGCGTTTGCATGGATCAGACGGGGCAACAACTGCCTTGCAGGGCTGTCGCCGAATGCACGTAATTATACCCTGCATTGCGTGTTAGCAGCCGGGTAGTCTAAGTTAACAAGTCATTTAGTTGCACTTGTAGATAAGGAATAATATAGTTAGGGGTAAATGTAGTATAAAGATATAATTGAGATTGAGAATTGACTTGAGTTAAGAGATAAAGCCATGTATATAGTACATAAATAGGTAGAGTCCTATCATTAGTGTAAGCTTTATAAGGGAATTATATATTGTGCTCCAGCTTTTAAAAAATATATTCGAATAAGAAGCAAACTTGTTTTACAGCGAATTGCCTAGTTTAAAATCACAAAATAAATATGTTATGATAAATTGTTTATATTTTACACCACTAGAAAACTTTTTTTATGTTTGATTACTGTTCATACTTTTAGGCTTGGCAAAATAAAACATAAGTACATTCACATACATACACATACCTATTAGAGCTCAGAGGGTATACGAGAGTCGTGCATTTGCTTCCTCTTGTGGCTGCAATCGTAATTGTGACGCCACGATTTCAAGCTTGGGGCTGAGAAGTTCGCTCTGCGCTTTGGAGAGTTTCTAGTCGCGGCTGCACTTTGCCTAATTGCAAAAAGGTTATTGGCCCAGAGTTGCCAGCTGCCAGTTGCCAGTTGGCAGTGCTGCCAGAGTTGGCCCCCAAAGTGCGAGGGTGGTTAGTTGTGGGCGCCAAGCGACGTCTCGCGCGTCTCTCTTTGTGGCTGCGTCCGCTGTTTGGCGTCGCTGTCGCTGCTTGCGCTTTGTTCTTTTGCTTTGTGCTGATTTTCTTTTGTGGTGGCTCTCGCTCCAGTAGTTGGGCTCGCTGGGTGTCTGCTGGCTTTTATGCTTTCCTGTTACCAAAACACGATGCGTCATTTTGACTGACGTAACCAGGAGACAGCTGTCTATCAGTTGCGACCGTCGTGCCGTCGACGTCGTTGTCGTTTACCGTTACGCCCGCTGCCGATGGCAATGACAGCGCTCGCTGCGGTTTGGCGAACAAGTGCACAGCATTCAGCAGACAGCAAAAAGCAGTCGCGCAAAATAAAAGATGAGCTACACACAAAAGCACAAACACAGACACACACCATACATTCGCATGCACAGTTACACGAAAGATTGCGTGGCGCCATCGTAAAGTTACAGTTGTAGCCAACGCTGGTAGCGAAAAGCTTGCTGATAAGCGACACCCCCACCCCCAGCCCCACTCGTTCCTTTTCCATTTGTTTGATCACGCTGCTTAAATAACGGCGTTTGTCAAGGGCAGCAGCGCCCACGACATCAAGGGGCAGCATCCAGCAGCAGCCGCATTCTGTTAGCTTCATAACCAACTACAGCGCAGTCGAAATCAAAAATGGTTGCCAAGCTGCAAGCCACAAAGCTGCAAAGGCCGCCAGTCAAGTGCATATGCCATGCGCAGGCGCCAAAAGACGAAGCGGCGCCTACAGCCGCGAACGGGCCACTGCCGCCAGCCCAGCAGCAGCAGCAGCAGCTACCCAAAAAAAAAAAAATAAAAACGGGTAAGCACAACAACAAAAACAAAAACAAAAAACAAAGCACCGAGCGCCGTTAATTTTTACATGTTGTGAAAAACGGTCGAAAAAAAGCAACGCGCAGCATTGAGGCAGGTCCCTCTACGCGATACGAGCGAACAGGCGCGCAAGCAGCAGCAGCAAGCGACAATGCGACGTCGGCCACGCCAGCTGAGCGAGCAAAAGCTAGTGCGTGTGAAAGCATGTACGTGTGTGCGTGTGTGTGTGTGAGCAGTGCCAACACAAGCGAGCGCCTACGTCACAGCAGCACATGAGCAGCCAGCAGCAATCGCAGCGAGAGCGCGCGCGCTTGTGTGCCTGCTGAGAGTGAGAGAGCGCCTCTGGCTGCGTGGGAGTACTGCCAATGTGTGCGTGTTTCTGTATACGTGTATTTTGGTTGTCTTTGCTGTGACTGTGCTTCAATTACCGTTACATGCTGCGCTGCGCGCAGCTATTGTAATGTTAACATTGACTGACACCAGGCACGGGTCGTAATTTACATGTCTCTGCACTTGTACTGTTACTGTCCGTACAGTAAGACAAAAAGAATGCAGTCTGAGTGGGACAAGACACACACACACAGAGAATGTAGTTTGTCTTTGTGGAATTGAGCACAGGGCTTTTTGTTTTTGTTTTTGTTTAATAGCATTTGTGCTTTGGGAAAACGAGCGGAATTCTTATGCTGTTCTCATGTATATTTTTGTTGGATGCAGGCATGCAGAGATTATTATATTCACAAACAATTTAAGCAGCATCGATGCAGTGTGTCTGTGTGGCCATTTCAGTTTCGAATTTGATTCACATTCGCGCCAAACTCTGATGTGGGTGCAGTCGATCCGCTTGATTCCGGGCCAGGTGCAACTGCAGCACTGGCCGCCACGGCCACAACGCGATAGGGAAACGAGCGCCCCGCCGCCGGCTGCAATTGTCGCGCCGGCACGTCCTCCTCCCTCTCCATGTTGCCCAGCATGGGCTCAAACAAATGATGGAACAGGCTATAGGGCTGGGCGGTGACACTCCTGTTGGGCGATGCTGGCCGCTCCGACGAAAACGGTTGCGGCTACAAGTCGGAACCCAATTATTATCTCTCTCTCTCTCTCTCTCCCTCTCTCTTTCTCTCTCTCCTCTCGAGACCTACCTGCAACAGTGTGGTATACATCTGATCGGCATAGTTGAGCAGCAGGCGCAATCCCTGGAAGCCCTCCTCGCGTTCGGGATGCTGGCGCAGCTCCTGTGCCGCTGCATTGGTCATTCGGGTGAGTATTTGGACCACCGTGGAGAGGCTGCTCACCAGACGCATCACATCATTGTTCACATCCACGGCCTGCGGCAGCATGAACCACTCGGGCGTGTGCCCATTCGAGCTGCTTAAGCCAATAGCATCGCTACTGCTGGTGCTGCTGCTGCTGCTGCTGCTGCTGCTACTGCTGCTGCTGCTGCTGCTGCTGCCGGTGGTGGAGGCGGGGCTGGTGGTGTTAGTGGCAATGCGCATCTGGCGGGGCTCGACAATGACAATGGCTGTTGGGGGAGCCTGGTGGCAATTAGGCTAGGCGTTAGCTGTCATGGGGTTCGCGCTGTGGTTACCTGATCGCCATCCGCAGGCTCCTTACAGTCGTCTGGAATCGACCAGTCGCCAATGGAATTGGATGCCAAAAAGCTGGCGCCGCTGCCTTCCTTGCTGCACCACATAAATGGATTTGGATTTTCAAATACTTTAGATTTTAAACACGGTCTATACATTGTACGCTTGTAAACGAACTAAATGGAATTAGCCAAACGTTTTTCAAATTGTCCGCTTGCTACGATCCGACACTGAAACTTATCTCTTATCTTCAGAAAATACTCGGTCTGATAATTCACTTATCCAAGAGGCTCGACACATCCACGTGCGCACTGTACATAGAATCGAAAATATATTCCAATGTTCATATGAAGGCTCGTTATGGAAGCAAATGTTGCTCGAATATTCTAGACTATCGCTATTTATAATTATATCTAAAAACTTCAAATACAATCCATCTAACTAAATACATTCCAATAGTTCCAGAGACCGTACAGATTAGAGATGTGTTGAACTCCAAGGATGTTATTGTATCGAAGGAACTACGTCCTTCTTTTCTCATCGTTTCTCAATAGAAATAAATACAAAGCTTAGAAACAAGACAAGATAAAAATTCCATTTTCTTAAAGGTATTTTGGATTTTTCATTAAGTTTTAAGAATTTCGCGAAATAATGTCTCTCCATACCATATTATATCGAGCATATGCTCGGATATCGAGCGGCTATATCCGTGCAGTAGAAAATAAAGCTCCGATACTATTATTGAAGAACTTATATTATATTATATTGTGTTTCATTCTATGCATATGTAAATCCCGTGAAATATGTATATATCCTGCGGATTATTATAGTGTGTAGGAAATATCATAGCAAGCCGAATGTCAGACAGAGGGCAACATCAACATTAACATTAACATCATGTCAACACAACAAACAAATCGAACGCATCCATTCAAAATATACAAGAACTCTTGTTTAGCATATTAAACACCATGGCAGATCGGGCCTCCAGGAAACACACACTTATCATTATGCGCGAACGGATGGAATGGCTGGATGGACTGTTTCCCTTGCCACCGTTACCACCTGATCAGTGTCGCGATGAGTACCTCAGGGAGTTGCTTCAGTCGCGGAAGTCCATTACATATCGATCGGGCGAATTTATGGACACATCGTCCGATGGAAGCACATTGACCCGAAGAATTCGTTTTGGTACCGAGATAAAGAACACCGAGGCGAGGATCGTGGACGAATTTGTAAGAACTCGCTCCATCATAGTCCCAAACAGGCAAACAATGGTACCCGGGAAAACCATAATGCAAGACGACAAATTCAACCCGTCGGTCCTAAACAAGATACTCAGGGATCGTTACGGCAGCATAGCCAAGGCAATTGGCTGCGTGGCCGTGCTCTTCCAGATGACGGAGCTCAAGAAGCAGATGGCCGTGGTGCGTGAGATGTGGCGGCATCACTCGAATGTCGAAAACTCCCTTAACATGTTCAGCTGGTCCATCAAGGACTATTTCATGCGCTTGAATCTGCGCGACACGGTCTACCTGGACACCATTGAGCTGGAGCTGAAGGGTCAAATGGACTGTTTCAAGTTTTGCAAGGATCTCAAGGAAATCATACGGCTCGTCGATGCTGTGTATGACGACTTTAAGGCCAAGCGGGATATGTGCAACAGCTCTATGTTATTAATAAAGTAAGTAAACTAGTTCGCACACATTTGTCCTTAAGAAAATATGGGTGTATTAAATTAGAATGATAAACTATATGTATGAAGTCGTGGGCAGGACAACACGATGAAATTCCATGAAACTCAAATTGATCTGCTTTACAGTAGATACATACAGTAGATCCCGGATTTTGTTGCTTAACTGAAGTCAACCTCAACTATTTGTTTTTTGCAGAGATGCCCAAGGGGATATTATGGAGCTGTTGTCGAGTTCACAGAGGGAAGCCGACGCGCAGCATAATCAGCTGACAAAGGATATGCAGCAAACCCCACGTTTAGCCAATCCGGGCCGACAAGCGAAAATCTATTACATGGATTGTAAGCACACATTTAGATAGATAGATCATGATACCTGCTATTTGCATTAATCCTATAAATGTCGCTAGTTATGGTACCAATTGAGGCACGCTATAAGACAAACTGGGCGCAAGCGATAATGGAGCAGTCCATCTTGTATGATGATATTTGCGAAAAGGTAAAATAATATTTCGAATATTTTTCAATTGTTATAGACCCCAATGAAACAATAATCTAGTACTGGAGGCTAAGTTGGGCCTAAATACTTCTTTAAATCAATTATTTCCACTCATTTTCCGTCTGTGCACGCGGAATTACTCAAAACCAGTGAAAAGTTTAGCTACCCACGATTAAACTTTACAATTAGTTTATTTACATTTATGGTAATTACTTATTATACATAATGTATATCCTATGTAACTTCTGAACAGAATTGAATGCTCCATAATATATAGCAACTGTTCCAATAAAATTCCACCAATGAATATCTGAAATATTGGGGGAATTTTATAAATAGATAAAGATTATTTAGATTAAGAAATCTTTTTATAATTCCAAAGAACTTCGGATTTATTTTAAACAAAAAAAAAAATTCTTTTTTTCCAAACATTTCAATGAATTTAATTTTCTGACAGGAACTCTTAGAACAGGTGAAATATTTCAAAGCAGACAATCTCGTGGAGGTTCTCTACCTTTGCAAGAATATAAACATTGCCTATGTTTTGGAGAACAGCAACTATAAGCAGCGCATCACTGAGACCGAGCAGGCATACGAGGAGAGTATGGAGCTAGTCGAAAACGAGATAACTATAACACGCAACAATTTGAGTAAAGTTAAAGATGATCTAGCTTTCTGCATGGAGCAAGTGCCCATGTTTCATCGAAAAATTGCAGAGGTAAAGGCGATTTTAGCTAGCCAAGAAGAAGAGCACAAGAAAAACTTGGTAAGTGAGAGAGTTCCTGCATATTAGATGAAATCAAGCACAACTTTCTTTACCAGGAACGAATATCGACTCGTGTCTCAAAAAAGAAATCGATCGAAAACAAGAAAAAAGTGAAATAGTTTAGTAATTCAAATATTTCAAAAAATAAAATGAGAAAAAACAGTTTACTTAACGTTTAGCTACCATAAAATTTATTAATACCAGAAAACTAAATTGGTGTATATAGATATATATTGTATATATAGTACTTTTGTTTTTTTTTTTCTTTTTGTTGTTTTTATCAATTTTTCTTTGCAACTGCAACAATTTCATTTGAAAACGTCGCTTGACATAAAATAGTTCATATACACATACATACTATATAGTAAGTATTTTAACTCTCTGGCTTACATCGAAACATTCGTTCAGCTTACACGATACTAAAATCCTCCACTGCCCTGTTTATCATATCAATATATCAATATCGCATCCTATGACTAATACCTAAACGTACAACTTACAGACACTCATTCAGCCAATTCGTAAGACCTTTTATGGAAGAAGAAATGCTTTAAACAACTAAAACTTTATACATTTTTTATACACGCACAGCAGAAATCATAATAATAATAATAATAATAATAGTAATAATTATCATAAACTTTCGTCATTAACATAGAACAAAAGATAAACTAGACATCAACTTAGTGCTTATGAACTATCAATTAATAATATCAATATCAAAATATTAACCTTAACGTTCTTCGAGTTAAATAAAAAGAACTTTTTGATGGGTAACACACACATAAAACTTTCGAGTTAATTAAACAGAAATTTGGTTGGGTCACAACTAAAGATTAGATTTTCAAAGATTACAGATTTGTTTTTCGTTTTTGTTTTTAATTGTTTTAATTGGGCGCATGCGCCGTGCGCAGCTTGGCGCGCACATTTAGATATTCGGGATTGACATATTGACGCTCCTCGGCATCCTCGGCGTTCTGTTTCTGAGCCGCCGCGCCAACCTTCTGGGCACGCTCCATAATCACGCGTCCCAGCTCGCCCTGGAGGCCGGCCAGCTCCGCTTCGGGCGAATGCTGTTCGATTGCTGCCGCCGCTGCCGCCGCCGCATGCCGCTCCTTTTGCTTCTCGTAGGCGCGCTGCAGTTCCGTCTTCTGGTTGAGCACACTCTTGCCACTGCAACAATCAGATGGGAATTGGTCAAGGGATGTTTTTTTGTAGGTCTAATTTCAGTTTGTACTTACATGCGCGCATTGAACTTGAGCTCGCGATGCAGCTCCTTGCGATCGGTATTCTCAATGCAGGGATTGATCAGCTTCTTTGGCAATATGAGACCCTCAGCATCGGTCTGGACACCCGTGGGCGTCGCTGGCGGCGAACTGGACATGGACATCATGGTGCCAGTTACGTTCTCAGCCAAGCAATGCGTTCGCGCTGTCGTATCTGCAAAAAAAACACACATACAAAAAAAAAGGCGATCAATATAAATGTCGCTGACTTGTTGAACTTTCTTCAAGAATTGAAAAATAATCTGGCCAGTTACTAAGTTTAATTGGCACTTGGCCTTCGTTCCATAAATCAAACAATGCACAACAGCAGCAGCAAGAACCACGACAACAACAACAACAAGAAGGAGAAGCTCTTATAAAATACGAGCCACACAACAAGAGAGCGGCAAGTGTCTTGCCTCGACTTGGCTGTCTTGACTGTCGCCCGTTTATTAAGGTTAAATATTTCTTTGCATTCATGTCATTGTCAATTTGTTGTTACACAAAAAAAATATAACTACAACAACAGAAACTGCCTATCTGTTACAAAAAACAACTGCAACAACAACAACAGCTTAAGGCCAAAGGCAATGGCCGAGCAAAGCCAACCGACAAGTTGTCAATTTCAAGATTCTTTCTTTGGCCGCAAAACTGCTTTGTTTGCCCCCCGTCATAATAACCCACATTTGGGCGCACATTTCTGGAGCAAAAAAAATAGTATAAAGTATATGAAATAAAAAAGAAACGTTGGTTTAGGCCCAGAACCAGAACTTAAACTAGATTAATAGGTGTTGATAAGGGGACAAACTGCCGTTGAGAATCGCTGATGAGACAATCGCGAGATGTGAAAGTCGTTCAAATTTATGCGTATCTGCAATTTGTTCTAAATGCTTTACAAAGAATATAAAACTTAAACTAATAAAGAGCGTGAAATCAATGCGGAAGCCATTTGGAATCATTTCTGGTGGCATATGAACAAATATATTCGTATGCTCTGCAAAAATATGCTAAATAGTCTGTGGAAAGCGGGCAAGGGGGGAAATACAAACATACACGAGAGTTTTGCATATCAAATTTAATGGCCCTAGCTTTTAAAGTGTCTCAGTTCAACGGAAATGTTGGCATCGGCCCATTATATTTATATATATGAGAAAACATTTGCAGTGCTTCAATTTTATAGTTTGTTGAGGAATTTCGAGGAAATGGAGCGCTATATTTTCATATGAACATCTTTCCTGTCTGATTTTATTATATTATATTAGAACTGAATCTATATACCCATATTCTAGCTGGGGTTCAGTGCTAAACCTTATCAGAGTATTAATATAATCGAACAAGATATCCGCATACCAAATGTGCTTCATTTAACTCTCATAGCTTCTTAGTTCAATGAGGTGCAAAGTGGATTAAAGCAGCACAGGCAACAAAATTAGAGATAGAATATGTTTATATTGATGAAAAGAACCTAAAAGATGCCTCTTTGAAGCTTAAGAGTGGTAGAATATACAGTCCAGCATGTGAAAAGCAAATTTCCTCGAAATTTCTGAGTTCCATAGTCCAGATAGTTGACTGGACAATAGTTTATAGTTAAAGGAATATAACACAGTTGAAGCATTCTCATATTAAATTTGCTGTCTTTAACTTTTTCAATCTCCTAGTTCCATAAAGAACTCTATTCATAGCCTAAGAATTTTTCGAGTGTAGTTCTTTAGGTTGCCCAGTTCGTTGGGGCTTAGTCAAATGTTTATCATAAAATGAAAGACCTAGGCGGCTTAAGGCAAAACAAAGCGTTTGCATTGATTGCTGCAACTGGAAAACTGAGCATAGTTTTTCATTATTAACCCATATGCATATGAATGGAAGCGTAAAGTTTTCAATTATGCTATATGTCGCGGCATCTGAGATATGAGTTTGGGCTAACTGTACTCGAATGTCATGCCTAGTTTAACTTGAAACGCGCTTAGTTCTATTAACTTTCTTGCATTGCGGGTCATAGGAAATAAACACAAATTTTCCATGGCCATAAACTTGTTTCAAGACAAACAGCTCAAAAAACAAAAAAAAACTTTCATTCAGACACCTAAAAACAATGCGAGTGCGCTGCTTGTTTGCTTGATAATATTACAAGTTTTCGTATGATAAATTAAATACACACAGAGAAAGAGATAGAGATATGTAGAGAGAGCGAGAGAGAGGGGGCACAACAAGAAGTCGCCGCTTGCCGTTGTCTGGGGCATTGTGGGTCGAATTGGACATGGAGCAACTCGATGAAAACAAATTGCATATAATTAGCTGTTTGGCATGGGAGGGGACGATACCCTTATAAAGTCTCGACTGTTATTTCATTTGACTTAATTTCACACCAACACACACACACATATACACACGCACAACTCTAATGAGTACACCCATGGGTTCTTCCAATAAGGCAGCGCGTCTGCAACCGGGCTTTGGACTGGGCTTTGGCCTGGGGCTGGGCCTGGACTGCGCGAATTGCGCAAGTGAAAACTTGTTAGACTGCAGCGCGTAATCGTCATCAACATCGACATCGTCATCGTAATCGTATTCGCAGTCGTCCATGTCTGCATGCCCAACTGTGGCAGACTGAAAACCATTTATAGTGTCTGCCTGGCAGTGCATTGCATTGCAACCGCCTCCAATTGGTGTGAGGCCCTCCCTCAGCTTTGTTGAACCCACGGCCTTTTTATGCGCTTGCAGAGCGTATTCAGAGATGACACGAGTCGGGACACCTGGTTTCCTATATGGTATACATATTCCTGATCAGTCTGTCGAAAATGAAACTTTCGTATCAAAGCCAAACGTTTAATAGGTTATTAATTCTCCGTCTCTTTATGGCATATATATTCCTGATCAGTAGCGGGTACTAAATCCACATGCGTGTGAGGATATTCCCATTCCTAAAAGTCATATATATTACTGAAAGCTTTTGTATTGAGTTGCTTTATTCCTATAAAGTATATATAGTCCTGATCAGTAGAGGCTAAGCCACATGTCTAGAAGGGTCTTAATGGTGCGTCCCTATGAAATATATATATTCCTAAACAGTAGCGACTAAGCCACAAGTCTCGAAAAGTATTCTCCATTCCTATAAGGCACATATATATTCCTGATCAATAGCGACTACATAATCGATCGCAAATAAAACTTTCGTATTAAAACATTTTCAATCCAAATGTATTTGATAGGGTATAAATTCTTCGGCGTCTCGAATGCAAATGGTAAACATGTCAAACGGCAAATCAATCAATCAATTAAGATTTGCATATAATTTTCGATTGGGTCACATGACAATATGTTAAAGACTTTGCGGCATATTTCATAATTGCACAGCTGCTGGTTATCAAGAGCTGAAAGGTTAAAGGTTAGCTCGCCTGATTCATGGCCATTTTCCAAAAAGAAAAAATAATAATAATCCGCAAAACAAATGCCAGCATTTTAAACAAATTTAAAACCTATTGTTAAATTAGTGATAATTTGTTGTAATTGTGTGCAGCGACTCTTAAGAAATGGTTTGATTGATGGCTGCAGCAACAAATGTATGTGTGTATGCCCATTCGAACTTTGAGCTGCTCAATTGGCTGCTTTAAGCAGGCAGACCCTTTGTTGATGGCTTCACTGAAGTTGACTCGTTATTAACTGACACAATTAACTGACATTTCTCAATTGAAAGCAACTGCAGCTGTCTTTTAAGCTGAACGAATTGGTGGGCCGCTTGAACTTTTCACATTTTCCAGCACTGCAAAATAGTTCAAACAAACTCAACAAGAGTTTTCTAGATCACAATATCAATCTGAAGTTTTTGAACACTGACAATGTTATATATATTCACAATACTATATTATCAAATATTTGTCACGAACGGAAATGTTATTATTTATAATAATGTTAATAAGCACTTCATATATTAAATAAAGTTGACAAAATACCTTAATATACCTCAAATTTATGCCTAGGCTTTCCGATTATAACGCATTTTACAACACTTGAAAATATGAGCAATTAAAAGTCTTAATCTTGCTGCCTGCTCTGTGCACTTCATTTAATTAATCACTTGCGATGAATCGTAAATGCAATCAAAAACACGTTTTCGTATTCGAATTAAACAGGAAAGTTGACCAAAAGTAAATTTATTAACTGGTGAAGCACAACCAACTTAACAGCTTGCCAAAACAAAAAAACATCTGGCAACCCTCGAGTGTATATTTAGCTTTTTCCCAGGCAAAAGTTGCAGTTTAAAAGACCTTAGCTTAAGTTTGTTAGTTAATGAGACCCTTAAAATAAAGTCGTATATGTTGCAATTGAATCTAATCGATTTGATATTTTCGCGAGCGTTGAAACCTTTTTTAAATTGTGAAAGTACAGCCCATTTCGTAAATGGACTTTTTGATAGTAAGCCAATTAGGAGCTTTTAACTTATGAAGTCTTCAATTAAAGTTGTTTAAACTTCATGTTGAGACGCAGCCAACTTAACAAGCACAATAATTTCATGTTGCCAGATCGCTAAAAGAAAAATTGAAAGTACAAAATACGAAATGCGCATAAGACAATCACGAAAAATGAAAACGAAATACTATACAGAAGTCACGAATATCATAAATGAAAAGACATAAACTTCTTAAGTGTTAGGTTTTTACTCCAAATAATGTCAAAGTTCTGAGTAAATGTTATTTTAAATGTAAATTTCTCTTGTATTAGCCTGTTGCATTAGCCATAAGGCTAAGACGTCAATTGAAAACGCATATCTAATTACACAGAGTATCTCGAAGAGTTGATCTTTCAAAATAAGTTTTCTGCCGCATGTATTTTGCCCTGAGCACAAAAGATCTATGGCCAATATCTTGAAAAGCATCTGAAACACGCTTCAGCACGCATTTACAAGACATTTCGGATTATTTACGAGCAGGCTAAGACACACACACAAACACACACACAAAAGATTTCACCTGCACACAGATACACACGCAGGCAGGCAGATGATTTTTTGTGCTTAAAAAACGTATTTGTTTTGCTTTAGAATGGGGCATACAAAGAAGGCAAAGAGATATCGAATTTTTGTTGTTAGACTCACTTTCAAAGATCGACATGCGGCTCATGATGCTCGAGGAGATGTGCGGCACCGGACGTTGCATGTTTGTTGATTTATTATAAACAGATATAACTATATACTTATATTGTCAAGGTATGTAATAAGCAAGACGATGATAGCACTTGAATTTGGATTAAAAACAAACAAGGAAATTTGTAAGATTTCCCAGATATATAAAAAACACACCAAGACAACTGTTACTGAGTTTTTGCTTCTCCTCTTTTAGACCGAGTTTGACTTAACTTGGCTAATTGCCAATGGCAAATCAGCTGTTGTCTTATTATTTCTGTTGCTCTTGCTGTTGTTCTATGTTGCATCCAATTGCCTATGTTGGCAGCTGCATTCACAGGTGAGACTAAGACGCAGTGGCCACTTGTATTTTCACTTGCCCCACGGTTTGCTGCCGCTTTCGCTTTCGGCTGGTGTTCTTATCAATGCAACTTATGGCTTCAAACTGGCCCGGCCAGCTAGCCGGACTCGGTCGCCGACTCGGCTTCGGATTCGGACTTGGACTCGGCGTGGCAAATGCCTGCAATCGATTAACAGCGACGAGTGCAGCACGGCGACAGCCCACGTAATGCGGCTGCGTTTTTGCTATTTTAGGCTTCCTCATTTGTTGCAACATCAGAAAGAAAGCAAGAAAAACAAAAACGAGCAAGAGCGGGAACGAGAGAGAGATATCACCCGAAATGGGTGGCCGAGCGCGGGCTTATGCAATGCCGCGCCAATGGGGCGACAACTGACCCAAATTTGTGTGCCACGAATGGCAAAGCGGCAAGCAACCGGCTGGGGCAACATGCAAAAACGCATCCATTGTTTCATCCTGGCTGCCTGCAACGAAAGTGAAAGCTTTTGTTCAAACCCAACCCTTACAACAAAAGCCCAAAATCAAATTAGCAGCCTTGCAGCACACATGTGCAGCTTGCAGCATTTATACACTCAGCAATTTTGCCAGAATTTGCAGTTCAGCAATGTTTATAGTTTGATAAATATATCAACCTAGCCCATGGAGACGCTTCTTTGTGCCAAAACTCTAGCGCCTACTAATGAAGTTGATCTGATCTGCGACCTTTGTTAGGCCTTTGCTTAATATGTTGTTGTTAAGGACCTTATTCTATACAAATCTATACAAATTTATGCATAATAATTTCATAGCAGAAACTATTTTATGGCAAATATGTCCTTTAATATCAGGATTTAACTGATATAATAGGAGTAACAAAATATTTCTACTTAAATGCAAATCTTAGAATTTTCGACCTCATTTATAAACTGAAGCTGAAAAATCGAATAATCCTTTTGTTACAATATTTTTGCAAGTGCACAGGGAGTCTGCAAAGTTGCCTCATGTGGCATGTATCGTGTTGCCTTGACCTGCAGACATTTTGTTGTCGCAGCTGCTGTACACGTGGGCAAGGCCAAAGCTCGACGGAAGCTGCGTGTGTCGTGATTGGCTCTCTGGCTGCCAGTTGTGTGGGTGTGTATCTCTGTGTGTGTGTGTGTGTGTGTGTGTGTATCTGTGTGTATGCGCAGTTTCAGGGGCAAGCATAGGAGCAGCCAGTCAGCCCAGGAAAACCTCACATCGACCGCCCAGCCCTCGTCCAAAATGGCAGACGCCGTCTGGGCGCTTGCTGTTCGCCTGGTGCTAATTGGCTCCATGGAGAAAATGGCCGCTTTGCGGGCCATGGAAAACACGCACACAAATGCCCGTGCGAGGCAAATGGTCGGGCGAGAAGATGCAGCGTCTAAGACATTCAACTTCTTGTCTTGACTCCAGTCGCACAGCACAGCATGGCCCCAGCAGCATCGCAGCTCCACTCCAGTCACTTCTCCAGGCGGGGCGGGAGGGATGAAACGGTTTGAGTCTGAGTTGCAGCACTCTGGGGTTAGTTGGGGCCTGGTGGGGCAAAGCGCAGCGCGCCATTCAACAAACTCTAACTCAAATACTCCGCCTCAAAACAACAGGCGCACAGCAACCAGCCAAGGCTGACGGCGCGCAGGAGCAACAGGAGACACAAACAGGAGCAATGACGTACTCGGCACAGGAGCAGACGGCATTGTTTATACAAAACAAAAGCTTTGTGTCGAAAGCTTGAAAGCTCTCTCCTCGATGTCGTAGGAGTCGCATCGCCTCGTCTCCTGTTGACGTCACGTCAGCCACGTCAGCCCTGTTGCCAAGGGCTGCCAGTTGACGGCAGCCCTGTCCGCCATTTGCCACTTGGCGAAAAACATCAATAAATAGATTTCCCTGATTTTTCAACAGGATAGCAGAAAACGCCAACAACGACCGACAAATGTTTGTAAGCCAGGCAAATTCACACAGAAGCATTGTTGTTGTTCTCTCCGCGTGTGTGTTTTTAACGGATGAAGGCGGGCGGGGTGCGGGGAGGGGAACGTTTTCTTGCCCCATTCCAGAGGGGGTTAGCCGGCAGCTCTTATCAGCTAACAGCTGGGGCAACGCGTTGCAGCACAGTTCCCTGTCTAGCCAAAAGCTGCGCTACACTTGAATATACATATAGATACACATATATCTACATTTATATGTATGTATGTATATATATATATATATTATATAGACACTAGAGGAGAGGTCGACTGTCTGGAATTTATGCGCGTCCAAATATTTGCGCCTCTTAAGAGCCCAAAACTGATCAATAAACATTTTTATTTATTTTACTTCAAGGCGAAACTTTTGTTTAATTTTTGACCATAAAAATTGTTGATTTTTCAGCAATCGCAAAATTTTTGACAACATTTAAAAACAACGAAAGCTTGCTAATTAGAACGTTGCTGTATTAAATTTAAATAATACAGACAAGCGAAATTTTGTAAATATTTTGAGAGTAAATGAGCTATTTTGCAAGAAAATTGTTTGCTTTGGCCCAATTTTGTTTGTGTTTAAACAAAGGCCACAATTGTTCCAATTTCCGAGCAGCCATTGTCTGAATAATGTTAAAGATATTCCAATAAACAAAAGATTTATACACAACACAAAAGTTAACTAATTCAATAAAAACAACATATGTTAATAGAGCTGTGCCATATTCCAAGAAAAAACTAAACAAACTAATAAATAAATAATAAGAAATAAGAGAAATTTGCAAAATATTTGCGCAAGTTTCAAAAAAATATGCTAAATTGTTGAACAAAGGAATGAAAAATTATTAATAATTGTCTAGCATTAGAAAAGGCTACAAAACGATTGAAAAATTTTTAATTAATTATAATTATAATAAAAACAATAATTGTTGGAAATAGATATATTAATTATATAGATATATTATATATAAAAATTTCTCTCTAAATTGAAAACTCAATTTTTGAGGTACACATATAGAACAAGAATGTATACTTCTATATATTTATATGTAAAATAGATTATATTATATTTATATATATAATTGCATCAATAGGCAATCAAAAATTTATAATATATATATATATATATATATATATATATATATATATATATATATTTCTATCCCTTTTACCTTCAAAACTGAGCTTTTAATTTTAGAAGAAACCAAGTTTAATCTTCTGATAATCTTCTAGCTAGGCCTAACAAACGATTTCTCAAAATCGATATTTATCGACATTGTCAAAACTAAAGAAGATATCGATAAGCAAGAATATATATTTCAAACTTTCCAGCCTCCAGCATTTGTTTCTTCGGGAATACAAATATGCACACTTCCCTTAATACGGGCGTGATATTATTCACAATATACAATCTTAATCAATCGATATCGGAACAGAGGGCTGTCAAAATTGAATAAAGCTGAACTCTATTCAATTTTGTACTAATTAAATGATTGTAGCTCACTTTTGAATAACTTTTTAGGCACAATATATATGTTACAGGCAACAAATTAATCACAGAACTGCAAAAGGCAAGCCTGAAACCGCAATTCTCATGCCTATTTTCACACTTGTGTGATGCTTCTCAGTTATTGTTGCGACTTTTTATCGATCACTTTAAATAGAGCCAAAGTATTCCTGTGCCGCCTACGGAGACGTCATTGTCGGCGCGTGTTAGTCATAGCCATTTAGAGGTATTTAGTATTTGTATTTGTATTTTGTTATTGGTATTGTTATTGTTATTGGCTTGTTTGTCTGCTTGACATTAAACGGGCCGAGCCGACACACGCGACTTTTCAAAGAGCTCGACCCCAAGAGACCCGCCCACACACAAACACACACACACACACACACACACACACGAACAGGCGCACACCTTGTATGGAGTGTTTGTAGCATACCCTTTGGCGAGGGCATTTTCATTTCAACAGTAAGTATGTAACGTTTCGCAAATTTCTGTAGCAAATGCATCAGCTTGAGTTGATTAGTTGATAAATAAATGTATATACAAAGATTGCAACCATTTGCTAGATTTATCATATCATTTTGTTATATATATCTAATGTAGGGATCGATTTTCTAGACAAACTATCTTCTTTTAGTCGAATATCTGGATTGATTGTTATTTGTTTACTTCCTGATTGGTTCAAAGATTCATTTCTGTTCTTCTTAAAGTCAACGAGTTTACAAGCACGTCTCTTTGTTTCAGAAGCTCGAACTCAGCTCCCTTTTATCGTATGCAGACAGACAGACATCTAACATTTTGTGGACCACAACAGGCTCTACATATATTACTAAGGTTGGAAGAAATTGATAAAATAATAGATAAAAGAATCAATAAGTTCCCCAAGTGTCCCGACATTAAGCCAAATGAACGAAGAAGTTTCTTGTTTATAGAATTTGCCATATTTTACAGCTTAAGAGACAGTTTTCAGACTATTTTACAAAACTTAACAAAATAGACACAAGCTCACATAATGTAAACACAAATCAGCTTCAGAAAAGAAAGCATTTATTTTGGATTTTTATAAGTGTATTAAATCTGTGAGCAATTCAAAGAGAAGCTCTGCCTAATTTAGTATATACTTATATCTTTTTTCGTTCAACTTTAGTGGCGTGTCAGAATTTATTGGCGCGCTCATTTTGTGGCCCATTAGCAAGGGAGCTGGGGGAGACCCCCAATTTATACGCTCAGCTGACTCACGAATGAGAAATTAGCTGTGGCCCCCTGAAAGTGTCTTCCATATCGGATGGCTGTTGGTTGAGGTCTTATGGGAGTGCAACTGTCGCCCAGTGGGAGATGTGCAGCAGCCACCACAGGAAGTCGCATTCCAAAAACGCATTCACAATACACAGTTCACAATGTAAGTCAGCCGTAGCCGTAAAGTGGCTTACTTGGCTTTCACTGTTGGCCACACACTCACTCGCACTCGCACACTCGTTCATTCATTCAGTCTTTCAGTCAACTTGAAATTTTCAGCGCCGACATCGTTTGTCGTCTTGTTGAGTTTTGCGGCAATTTTTAGTATAATTTGTGGCCAGTTT